CCTTCTCTTACTCCTTAATGTAGTGGGGATGACAGGCTAAGTTGCAGTGGTGTTCTCCGCTTGCTAAGTGATAATTTGATATGGAACCCGTGGAGAGTATATAATGTGGGATCTTGGAGAGCTGAGCCGTGTTCTTGGTGCTAGGGGCCTTATTACCGCTTGATTTCTCCGCAGTATTCTCCATAGTGTTCTCCGCAGTGTTCTCCGCATTTGCCTATTGTAATTCCTCCTCTTACTCCTTAATATAGTAAGGATAATAGACTAAATTACAGTGGTATTCTCCACTTACTAAGTAATAATTTGATGTGGAATCGTAGAGAGCATATAACGTGGGATCTTGAAGAGCTAAGCCGTGTTCTTAGTACTGAAGGCCTTATTACCGCTTGATTTCTCCGCAGTATTCTCTATAGTATTCTCCGTAGTATTCTCCGCATTTATTTATTATAGTTTCTTCTCTTACTTCTTCTCTTATAGAGTATTAGATTAAGTAACTAGCTAAGTAGCTAATTAAGTAAATAACTAATATAACGTAAGATCTTAAAGAGCTAAGCTATATTCTTAACGATAGTAGTCTTATTACCGCTTAGTTTCTTCGTAATATTCTTTATATTTACCTATTATAGTTTCTTCTCTTACTTCTTCTCTTATAGAGTATTAGATTAAATAGCTAGTTAAATAGCTAATTAAGTAGATAATTAAGTAACTAACTAATAATCTAACTAAGTAAATTATTAAATTAATAGAGTAAATAGTATTAACTAAGTAGCTAGTCGAGTATCGCTAGCTTAAGAGAAGTATATAAAAGAGAACGATAGCTATAAATTCGTTTAGACTCTTTTTAAGAGTCTTTTAACGCGTTTATAAGTAGGTAGACGCGTCTTAAAAGATAGTATCGCTAAGTTAAAAGATATTATCGCTGACTTAGAAGGAGTATATAGAAGAGGATATATTCGTTCGAGCTCTTTTTAAAGATCTTTTAACGTATTTATAAGTAGTAGTAAATAGCTATTAAACTCGCTTACGGCCTCGATTACTAGTAATAGCGAATTCGTCGAGAGATAATCTAGAGGCGTTAGTAGAGGCTACTAGTCGAAAAGATATAATATATTCTATAGAATATTTCATATTAAGTAATACTATATCGTACTCGAATATAATATAAGTAGAGTCGAATATCATTTCATTTTTCTAATATGAATTCGAAATCTTAGCGAGATATTTTACGATATAGTATATCTATGAGATTATATTATAATATAAAATATATATAAGATATCTCGACTAAGATTTCTATATTTAGAAGTATAAGTAGCTATTCTAGTTATTATTCTAGTTAATTATAGCTACTACTATTATAGCTACTACTATTATAGCTATTACTATTATAGCTATTACTATTATAACTATTACTTATTATTATAGCTATTACTATTATAGCTACTATATAATAGTAAACTATTTTAATAATAAATAGTAATAGCTATAATAGTAATAGCTATAATAGAGTTATAATAGTAATAGATATAATAATAATAAATATAATAGTAATAGCTATAATAGTAATAGCTATAATAATAGTAATTATAATAATAATAGCTATAGTAGTAATAGCTATAGTAGTAATAGCTATAATTAACTAGAATAATAATTAGAATAACTACTTATACTTTTAAAATATAGAAATCTTAGTCGAATTATTTTATATATATCTTATATTATAATATAATATTATAAATATATTATATCGTAGAATATCTCGCTAAGATTCTATACTATATTAGATATGAAATTATATAAATCTTAATAATCTATACTATATTAGAGTATAATATAATAGATTAATATTCTATATTATATTATATCTTTTCGACTAGTAATAGAGACTCTAAGAACGAGTAAAAGAAATATATATGCCTAAAGCGTTTAGTAACGTTTCCGCGAGGGGTATCGAGGATAATTATATTCATATTAGTAAATTAATAGAATTAATAGAATGATGAAAGAAAGAAGAATAATTATATAAATAGGTGGAAGGATTATTATCCGATCTCGAACGCGTCTGGTATAGCTATTATAACTATTATATTTAAATATTTATTTAACTTATTAATAGTAGGCTAAACTTTATTATTTTTACAACGTTAGAAAGCGCACACTGAGCTCTATAATTTACGAAATTATAAAGAAATAGCATTCGTAGAGACTAGTTATTTTAGAGTGTAAAACTTCTATATATAAATTTTTAATAAGAGAGCTCGAGAGGGCTAGCGGGCTAACTTAGATAGTCTAGTTAAAAGACGTAATAATCTCGAATTTATAATTAACTATATATATAAATTCAAGGTTTTCTAGTTTAGCTCTACCTTATTCTATTATATATATTAATTAATATTTCTTTAAAGCTTCTAAATTACTACTATATTAATATTATAGATCTTTTTATTATCGAAGAGTTCTACTATAACTATTTTAGATTTTCTTATATTATATTATAGTATTAATAACTAACTAAGATATACTATTATTTCTCGATATTATTATTAATATTACTTACTCGCTTCGTCTAGTCTATAGAGTCTATATCTTCTTTCTAAGTATTCTTCTTTTCTTAATCGTTAATAGATCGTCATCGAATATATCTCTTTTTATTCTTATTAACGAGAATCGTAATTCTCTTATTACTACTCTTTTAACTTAGAGACTATCTAGCGTCCTCGAAGTTATTAATTTCCCTTATCGCTATATTATTCTTATATCGTTTAACTTCGTCTACTACTTTAAAGAGCGATTTATTTCTAGATAAGACCCTTATTAATAATATAGAAGTATATCTTCTTTTACTCGACTAGAGATTTAATATAATAGTTCTTTCGAGATTTAATCCTCTAATTCCTTTTCTATTAATTATTCTATCTCTATCTACTAGCCTATCGCGCGTAAATATTAACCTTAAAAAAAATTCCTTATTTCGCCTACGATTAAACGTATTCTAAAAGTAATTACTTAATTAATCGCTTATTTAATAGCTAGTCGATATCTTCTTCGTTATTATAAATCGTAAAGAAGTTTATTATCTCGCTATTCTTATTCTCGCTATCTCCCTCTTCTTTACTATATATATCTTATTTTAAGCCTTATATAATCCCTCGTAAACTGGGTATTTACGAGTATCGGCCTATATAATCTTTATAATAATACTTCTCTAAGTATTTTCTATATACTAAGTAATTCTTTTTAGAATATATAATCGATAGATAATCGTATTTCTAATATACGAAGTATTACTTCAATCTATACTACTTATTATAGACGTAATAGCTATATAATTTCTAAACCAATAACTAGATCTTCTTCTAGTACTTTATTTTCTTTCTCTAGAGATATTAATTCGATAATTAATAAACTCTTATTATAACTCTCTTTATTCGCGCCGAACTAGTCTAGCTATATTATATCGAGGCTTAGCGTATTAACGTTCTTATTCTAAATTCTTTTAATTATTATAGTTATATCTTTAATATCGAATATATTAATCCTTACTTTATAGAGTAAAAGACTATATATTTTAATAATTACTCTCGCGCTATTATTTATCTTTAAAGTCTAATCCTTACTTTTTCTTAATTTATTCGCCTTCTTCTTATTTATAATTATAATATATATATCGCTACTCGCTAGCCTTCTAGTCGTTCTAATAGATTTTCTTATAATATTTATATTCTTTATATATTTATTAATTATCGTAATTATCTCACTCGATATCTTTCTCTTTAATACTTTACTTATTATCTCATCTTATAACTTTATAATAATCTCATTTAACTTATTATATAATACTTAATCTTATTTTAATATTACTAATAATATAATAGAAATTTCTTTAATAGTAGAGAAGAATATCGAGAATTAGCTTAGTACGCTAGCGTAGCTAGCTATCGATATATTACTTCTTAAACTAGCTATCTAATACTTAATATATATAATCTTTTTCTTTATATTACTATCTCGATTACTTAAATTAATAACTAGTTTATATACTTCGTCTAAGACTATCTAGATTTTAAATTTATTATTTATTCTTTTTATAAATATTACCGCCTTAAGAATAATAACTACTTCGTTTATTAATAATTTCTAGCCTTTATTTATTATTTTTAATATAATATTTATCGATAACTTTAATATAAATGCGTACTCCTTAAAATCGTAGCTATTATAGTTTTATTAAAGCTAGCTAATCTTATTCGATATAGTTATAAGAGTATAGACGTTCCTTAAAGCTAATTAAAGAGGTATTAATCTTACTAAGTACTTTAAATATATATATCTACTTTCTATAGCTCAATAATATAGCATAAGCGTTATGCGAAAGTTTCTTTTTAATATTCGATCTTGCCCACCAGAGAGTTCTAGATCACCAATACACATTGGAGCTAAACAACTTTGGGTCTAGCCGCTGCTGTCACTGAAGGCGCTTTCGCTTGCGATTATGTTGCCCAAAACATCTGCTCGCCACGTGGTCTGATTCGATGCAACCTCCTCGCAATCTCCAGCCAGTCTCTCAGTATCATTCACCGTTCTTCCTTCTACACTCTTCACCACGGGCAACAACATCAATGAGGCTTTATCCAGAAGATCCTGAGCTGCTCGATAACACCCAATTCCATATCAGGGAAGCATGTTTCCATAACCCTGTCCCGTTCGAGAAGAACGGGCTCGTCTTGCGCCATCTGGCGCTTATGAAGAGCTCAATGGGCTTTGTATGGCCGAGGACGCCAGTTCTATATCTCTAGGGACTGTAGTGGGCAAAAAGGATGACGCCTACCAACGGATGCCCAATTGGAAAGCCTAGGTATCGAAAGAAAGAGTGTGCAGCAGCGTGGACTTGACGAAAGCATCATGTATGAATCCTTTGATGTGGAGGCCTATGTACAAAAGAACGATCAGTCTACGCAATCAATCTTATTGCGTTCCTCTCCCCACAACCACGAGAACACACTTCATCTCTCCTCCAACATCTTCCCTCCCGTCAGTTCCTCACCAATCTTCTTCATCCTCTCCCTGGTAGTAATCTCATTCCCCTCCGCGCTATCCAACGCTGTCTGCCTCCCAGTCTTGTTAGCCTTCCCTAACAACTCCTGCACCGTCTCCGGGAATCCCAGATTCCAAATATTTAGTCCCTCACTACTATCGGTCCTGAATTGGCTATTATCATCGAACGCCCTGTCAACCACCTCGTCCAGCTGCTTGCCTGTTGTAATGAAATCACCAGCATTGACGTAAAGAGTGTGTAAGGCGTTTCTCCGGGCCTCTTCCCGCATGGCTGCCATATCGGCGACATTCTGGCTCATGACCGCGAGACGACCGGGGCGCGTGGGATCAGGAAGCGCGCGGTGTTTTGTTGGCTGTTGAGTTGAGAGGACTGAGGGGTTGGTGAGCCGAACATCTTTGCGTTCAGGGGCGTAAAGACGCTTTTCTCTAATCCTGGTATTTGCGGCACTTATTATACTCCTCCTTCGATCAGATTCCTGTCTCCTCTGATGCAGCTCTGCCAACCCTTCCCGAAGATTTCGCCGCCGTAGCTCCGATTGACGGGCTTTCCAGCTCACGAATTCGTCGTCTGATCTGGTGGTTTTATCTTCAAGGGGTTCGGGGGTGACAGCGGCGAAGTATTCCGGAGAGGCTCTGGGTATCTTCCCCTCTTTTCGCCGATGGAAAATATCTCTGGGAGGAGGAAGGACGCCTTTCATGCGTACGGGGAAGGGTTGTTTTGGTTGGACGAGGCGTGGGACTTCAATGAACTTGGGCGACTCCGGGGGTATTTGAGCACGGGAGGGGGAGGATGTGCTAAAGCCGGGTGATTTGGTGTGGTGGATACATTGCCGTGGTCTGAGGCAGCGTTGTGTACCCACAGCTCGAGGAGGCATGATGGCTTACAATGATGGAGCGTTTATTTGATGCTGTTAACTTTTCGATTTGTCCAAATCAAGATCAGGGCGCGGACGGGGAAATGTTTTGCCTAGCGCATAAAAGGAAAAGTCCGCACTTCGAACTCATTATGATCAATATTACACAACAGCAGCTTTGAATGGCACTAGGGATTAGGCTGGGTACCGCCAACGGCAAGAAGCAACAGCAGTAAGCTGCCCCTAGACGATCAAGATGGGTACCGGCAAAAAAGAGAAGATGAGGAAGGAGAAGCAGGGCAAAGTGGGAGACGGAATGGCAAATGTAAAGGTCAAAGGAGAGAATTTCTACCGGACGGGCAAGCAGGCCAAGACGTTGAACATGTTCAAAGATGGGAAAGCGCAGCGGAATGCCAACGGAAAGGTCACAAAAGCAGCCAGCTTTCAAAGTCGAGACAAACCGAAAGCCCGTGTCGAGCCCAATCGAAAATGGTGGGTCCCCTGTTTGGATTGAAGACTTCTTAATCTTCACCATGATCTAGATTGTAACACATGCTCCAAGATCATTTTGCTCTTTGAACTTATTTCGTCGACTCAAACCTCATCTCAAAGAAGCGGCGCTGACTCCGAAAACATAGGTTTAACGCCACACGGGTCATTTCTCAGGACGCCCTCAACAATTTTCGGGATGCAATGCAAGAAAGGGCTTCGGATCCATATCAGATTCTCCTCAAATCCAATAAGCTACCAATGAGTTTGATAAGAGATGGCAAGGGCAAGAACGGGCTGAAGCAGCACCAAGCCAAGATCGAGGTGGAGTCAGCGCCTTTCGGTGATACTTTTGGGCCAAAGGCACAGCGGAAAAGGGTCAAGCTAGGAGTCGGGTCCTTGGAAGATCTTGCGGGAGAGTCGACAAAAATGCATGTGACGTACCTGGAACGCCTGGAGCAAGCCAAGCTGCTGAGTGGGACATCTGGCTCGGAAGAGCAGGCTGGTGAGGCCGCACCAGAAGACGCAGTCCTTTCCACAGCGAAGGAGCCCATATTCTCGAAGGGTCAAAGTAAAAGAATATGGAACGAGCTATACAAGGTCATTGACTCTTCGGACGTTGTTATCCATGTCCTAGATGCACGGGATCCTTCGGGCACGAGGTGTCGGAGTGTGGAGAAGTATATTCGCGAAGAAGCACCTCATAAGCACTTGATTTTCGTTCTAAATAAATGCGATCTGGTCCCAACAGGTGTTGCCGTAAGTAGTTGCATTCCCTCTGTCGTTGCCAAAGAATTATCACTCTTCCCCTTGCGGCGCACCACCTTTCCAATCGTCAAGTCAAGAGGCTTTCCTGCACTTTGTGCATTATCACCATGGACTGTTACTCTGTTACGCGTTGGATATATCAACCCCCTTTCCGCCGCGTCTGACCTTTGGGTCTTGCGTAGACTGCTCGCCGTCTTGGGGAGCTGGTCAACAGGATCGGGGAATGTTGCGTTTGAGTTGAAGACCTCCGCTGCTACACAATGGTGGACAAATGGAGGTTTTCTTAGTAATGCTTCATACATACATTCAAGAAAGGATGTTATGCAACGTATTTAGCTAACCGTCCTCTTAGGCTTCATGGGTGCGCGCACTATCCAAAGATTACCCAACTCTCGCCTTCCATGCGTCGATAACCAACAGCTTCGGCAAAGGAAGTCTAATTCAACTCCTTCGGCAATTCTCGTCCCTCCACTCCAATCGCAAACAAATTTCCGTCGGATTCATAGGTTACCCCAATACCGGTAAATCTTCGATCATTAATACCCTTAGGAAAAAGAAAGTCTGCACGGTAGCTCCGATCCCCGGAGAGACCAAAGTTTGGCAATATATCACATTGATGAAAAGGATTTACCTCATAGACTGTCCAGGCGTTGTCCCACCAAGTAACAACGATTCTCCCGAAGACATCCTCCTCAGGGGAGTGGTACGGGTGGAGAACGTCGAGAACCCCGAACAGTACATCGCCGCCCTCCTCAAAAAAACAAAACCGCAGCACATCCAGCGTACATATGACATTGGAGGGTTTGAGACAGCCACAGAATTCTTAGAGCTGCTGGCCAGGAAGGGCGGGAGGTTACTAAAGGGTGGAGAGGCAGACGTTGATGGAGCTGCGAAAATGGTTTTGAATGATTTTGTGAGAGGGAAGATACCCTGGTTCACGCCTCCGCCACTGGTAGAGGGGCAGGAAGGGGGAAAAGGCGTCGAAGGTCGGAAAGGGGTGTTAGGCGAGATGGGCAAAGTCAGCATGGCGCGGGAAGACGACGCTGCCACTGAAGGTGCGGATGTCGAGATGGAAGGGGTGGATGAGGATGGAGATGAGGACGAAGAAGAATTCGAAGGCTTCGACGAGCAAGAAGATGAGGAGATGGACTCCTCGGAAGAAGAGTCATCATCAGCAGACGAGCAGGACATCGAGCAGAATATTGCTGGACAGATTCCCACGACAGCCGGCGGAGTAGCACTCGAAGCTGGCTGATGCGCCCAGATCTTCTAGATCAATCGAATAATTTGCGTTGATACCTCATCTCCGTCGCTTCAGCCCTTTTAGGTCTGCAACACGATACACTAATATGCAGCTATGCTGCTTACTGCCTCCGATATGTAATATGCCTACTGACCAATGGTAATGCGTACTTCAAATACTCGCATCAGTCCGTACATTGCCGGATACTAACGCGCAGATCCTTCCGCTGCAGGGCGCCTCGACATCCGCATCCGAGCGACGTTTTGAAGAGATCTTCTCCCGTCGCAAAGGCTACCTGTCGCTATTGATACACGATACCCCTTTTTGGAACCCTGTGCCTGTTTCTGCCACCGTAGCTGCGGTGCTGTGAGCAAGCGAGCCCTGGCAGTCCACTTCTCCCCACAACATCTTCGTGCAACCGTCTTTCATGGCTAGAGGGTCTGCTCCGGTGCCGTTGCCGTTGTCATTGATTTAATTGGGCCACTTCTTCGTCGAGGGTGTCTCGGAATCTTCTATTTTCATCATTTCGCTGGGTTTTCAAGACAATTGACAACGTACAATATACAAAGCCCGCCGCATCGGCCGGATCTGTATTCGCCCAACCCCAACGCCAATGAATTATGTTGGACACTCATTTTCGGCCAGACTAGTGGTGATACCAGCCCTTGCAAAAGCCTTAAAGAATTGTAAGTTCCCGCTGAGATCTGTGTATTCTGCTGCGTCTGGCGAAAAGTCTAAAGGGTTCAAAAACACAAGTCCTCAAAATCCGAGCCTACCACTAATCTGCCTTTCTGCCGTGAGAAAGAGCCATTGACTGACAGGCCACCACATATCATCACGTGCCAATGCTTAAGCTTGACTCCTACCCTCCAATGGAATCACGGTGCCAAATTTGAGGTAAGGTGAACCATTAAAATCACCCCGTCATTGATTCCATGACCCTGTTGCCCCGTCTCACCACACAACGCGCTTCTTCAGGGCTCATAGAGCTATATTTCTCACGTCCCCTGAACTACTCGTCTGAGGCTGTCTTGAAAATTCAATTCGCAACAGAGGACGTCTGTTCACAGTCGCCGTGCCTTCCTGCGTGGATCCGCCGTCAGACACAGCGGTTCGATTGGATATGAAGATTCAATCCGGTATACCGCGAGGACTGTTTCCATGCTAAGCCCTGACTCGAGAACGTATAATGCCTTGGCAGATGTTCCAAGGTCTTAGGTAGGGGGGTGTGTGTGTTTTTCATTGTGAGTTGATTGTATCATGTCACAGCATGACTCCGACGCCAATCATGCGAGAACCGAATTCATGCGCGTCGCTTGCATATATCAATTTTGGAATAGCTGGCATGGGACACTGCCTTGCAACAATTTACTTCAGTTGGCTTCTGTCGTTCGAGCCATTCGATGACATATGCAGTCTCGCTCTCAATCCGACCCCAAAAGTATCGAGGGGTCAGTGGGGCGGTATCCAAGCCCGCAGCGTCCGAACATTGAATAGCCGACTTCACAAAATCGTGAGCCACGGTCATATAGTAATGAACCAGCATGGACTCTGGATAAGTCTTCGGAAAGTACGGCGACACTAGCTCCTCGATATCCATTTGAAGGGCGATCATTTTTCCATATTTGTAGACGAGATAAGAATGCACACTGAAAATCAGGTCTCTGAAAACCTTGGGATTCTCGAACAATGGCTCGTGAAATCTGACTGGAGAACGGCACAAGTGGATGAGCCAGGTAAGTTGGTTCGGACATTCAAACTGTCCAGTCATAGAATGACACCTTCTTGAGGCAATTGACACAGCCTTCTTGTCAATAAATGTCAGATAGCTGGCAACCTCAAGGAACAGCTCGAGTGGCAAACATTCAAGCATGTTATTTATGATGTGATTCGAGGAGTAGATCTGACCTTGAGCGTTCAGCAGACGAAGATAAGTCCCCTTCGAAGCAAGGGTCGATGCGTCCAAATGCTTTGGCTGGCCGGCAAAGATCTGTTATATACCTTGCTTCAAATTGTAGTAAACAGCGATGAGCAGCTCCGGTGAAGGTTTTTTTAAACATAAAAACCGCCTGAGAGGAGAATATAAGATTACATACCAGAGATAGTCCCAGCCTGTGAAGTAGGCCTTGACGCAGGTAGACTTGGCGCTTAGCGCTTGATGCGCCTAAACTCGAGTTCCTCCAAGTAATTGAAGAGAACGGGATTTCTTACGGAGAGAATTGATGATCACGCTGTGCAGTATAGACTTCTTCAAAAAACAAAGCACCTCGCCTCCCACCGAATCCCCCAACTACTTCCTTCCACCTCCGCAGATATGTCGTTAGGTCCTACAGGCGCAAGCCTGAACCCCGAGCAGGCCGAAAACTTTGAAGATGTACGCTCGCACCTCTTTGAGGCTGTGATCTCATGCCGTACTGACAAGTGAATAGATGGAGAAACAATTTGCTGTGAAAGGTCCGCCTTTCAAAGCGCCCTTAGACCTCAATCGCCGATTCCCACAATGCACAACCACTGGACTGACGAAGAGGTCATACAGCGGTGCAACACATGACTACATACTGGGCGATACTTGAGAAAATGAGAGGCTCGAAGCTACGGCTTACAAAAATGGATGATGAGATCTACGAACACTTCAAAAATGAATTTCCAGAATTTGACCCAAAAGAAACGATCGACGAGGACAAGATGAAGAGCAAGGAGGGCAAGGAGCGATGGCGGAATTTCATGATGACATATGAAAAGACTGTGGAGGACTACAACTTTGGCACAATGCTGAGATCGAATCCAAAGTTCGAGTATGGCGAGAAGGAGACAATCTTTGGTTTGCTGGCCGTGGTTCCGATTCAACGGGCAGTCGGCTAATAAAAGAATCCCAGCTATGCGAATGCAGTTCTACGCCATCGAGATCGCGAGGTAAGTCTGTAGGGTATCCCGGTCTTGATTTTACCTGACCTGGTGCAGAAATCGTAAGGGTCTGAACGACTGGGTATACGAGCAGGCGCACCCCAACGAAGACAGCAGCAAAACATGATTTCTCAATTTGTCTACCGTTACGATGTTACGAATGAAACATCGATTATAGAGTGTATGATAACATCGATTTTTCGGAGATTTCATGATGTCGAGCGCACATTACTCGACCTCAGAGCCTTTCAACGAGACGTGTCTCCTGTCGGTTCAACAGCCTTCATCCTTTCACAAAATCAAGTCTCCTTGATCATGAACTGTTCCAATCAAAAGGTACATATGTTCTCATCATAATACCGATCTTCTTTGCCCCTCACCTGCTTTCACATCGTCCGGTTTCAGGCCTCACCCTCGCTTCAAGTATGATCGGCAGTGGTGTTACCATCATTTAGACACTCTTCATGAGACCAAGTTGCTGAAATACTACTATCCAATGAGTGGGCGTCGTGTGACACTTGGACCCTTTGGGCATCAGATTCGCCATAGCGGAGATGCTGAGGCTGACCGGAGCTGTACTGCCCATCCTCTCATCATTCGCTTGACTCATTCGCTTGTTTTCTCTTCTTTGATTATCATACTTATCATCATTTCAGTGAAAATCTCCAACATTACTTTCAAATACTGAATCCTTGATTTATGATTGTTTTGAGGAGTGACCAACATTCCGCGCTAAAAGAACAATACTAAGGGTTGATACCAATTTCCCGGGCACAACGCATTGTCAGGTATGCTCGCAGCTATTATCCTATCTTTGCTTTCCTATTATCATCCCTCATCATTGCAATACAACCCGGCAACTTCAGCTGTACGATCCAGAATCCAGAATCATGTATCTTCCTACTCCGAAAAGCTATCAGCCTTCTGTAACAGCATCAGCGGGTAACAAATCTTCTTTCTATACTAATGCGGTATACGAAAGCCTCCGAAGACATTGCGATGCAGATCGATGTCGAGTGTCCCGACGATCTGGAAGCCGACGACGAAGAGAACAACTTCGCAAAGCACGCAAGCTGGCGTTCCCTCTTCAACTTCACTTCGAAATGGGATACTCCACCGCTCCTTCTGGCACTCATCTTTTCGATCGCCGCAGGAATCATCGCACCGGCGCTGGCAGTATTCCTGGGCAAGATCTTTGACCTTTTTACGAACTTTGGGGCGGGTGAGATCAGCGGATCTGATCTGTTGAAGAAAGTATCTGCAAACGCTATCGTTCTAGTTGCACTAGGCACTGCAAGTGGTTTGTTGCATGCGGGCTACTTCACGGTTTGGCTGGTATTTGGTGAGCTCCAGGCGAAGCATGTACGGGAAATGCTCTTCGACAGCATGCTAGAGAAGGACATGGGTTGGTACGATATGCGCACAGATGGCATCGATACTTTGGTATCACGACTTCAGACGTGAGTGCAAATGCATTATATTTTACAGAGGTGAGCTAACATCCAGTACAGACACGTCCGAGACCTCCAGCTGGCTACCTCGCAACCATTGGGCTTTGCAGTGCAGGATGGAGTCACCACACTCGCAGCTCTGGGCCTAGCTTTCTACTACTCTTGGAGTTTGACCCTCGTTACTCTATCTACTGTCCCGGTTCTTGCAGTCGCACTGGCTTGGAACTCAGCGCGGATGCAACCAAGCATTGAGGCGCAGACGAAGGAGCTTACCAAGGCTTCCAAGATTGTCAACAACGCACTTTCAGCCATCGACACAGTCAAGTGTTTCAATGGACAAGACTTTGAAAGGTGGCAGTACAGAGAAGCGGTCAAGAGAGCCGCCAGATACTATCTCTATCAAGTACAAGCCAACGCCCTCCAGATCGGTGGCCTTCGACTCATCACTTTGGGCATGTTTGTTCAAGGCTTTTGGTTTGGAAGCCATCTAGTCCAAACCGGGCAGAAGAACCCAGGCGATATTCTAACAGCGTTTTGGGCATGTCTGATGGCGACACAAGCTTTCGAACAGATCCAACCGGAGGTCATTGTGCTTGAGAAGGGAAGAGCAGCCGGAGCTACCCTTAAGTCCATCTTGGGTCAAATGGAAGTGGGACTCGAGATCGCGAGGATGAGCGGCAGGACCGTTCCCCTTTTCTGCGCCGGAGACATTGAAGTCAGAAACGTATGTGGAAAGCCCCGTCTCTTAAACGCTTGTTAATCAAAATTAGGTTTCTTTCTCTTATCCCTCCCGACCCGACCAGCCCGCCCTGAGCAGCGCCAGCTTCTACTTCCCTGCCGGCGAGACGACTTTCATTGTTGGTAGGAGCGGCTCTGGGAAAAGCACATTGGGGAATCTTCTAATGCATTTCTACAACGTCGAATGTGGAGAGATACTGATAGATGGACACCCAATAAATAATCTCGACATCAATTGGCTACGCAACAATGTCACTCTTGTCCAGCAGCAAAGCGTGCTGTTTAATGAATCAGTCTTCAAAAATATTGCCTTTGGTCACAGAGATCATGGCAGAGTCAGGAAGGAAGAAGTCAAAAGAGCAATCGAAACTGCGTTGCTGCAACATACAATCAGCGATCTGCCACAGGGGCTAGATACTGTGGTAGGGACTGGCGGCAGTGCCGTGAGTGGAGGGCAAAGGCAAAGAGTATCCATTGCAAGGGCACGACTGCGCGACACGCCCATCTTGATTCTCGACGAAGCGACCAGTGCTCTGGACCATATCAGCAAAAGCCTGCTTGTTGAAGGAATCCGCGAATGGCGCCAGGGCAAGACTACGATCGTTATAACACACGACATGTCACAAGTCCAAGATGAAGACTATGCCTATGTACTTGATAGCGGAGTCGTCATTCAAGAAGGCTTCAAGAACACCCTGGAAAAGAGCGACCTCGGACCCTTCCAGCAGCGGGAAAAATCAATCATTAACTTCCCAGCCACGCAAGCGCGGTATCGGGAACTATCGCAAGGACTTCGTTCGAGCTCGTGTCCTGCGCGCGTCGCTCCTCTAACGAGGAAGAAGTCTGAGATTTCAATGGTGACCCAAATCCAACCAAAGAAAGGCCTCGTCTCAGCTATGTTGAAACCACAACCGGAGAACGTGCGACGCCCATTGCAAGCATTCGTACCAGCATCACCCCCAACGAGTACGCGGCAATTGTCTGTGGCTCGTTCGAAGTTCCAACATCATCAACGCGAGATCTCACAGCAGAGCGATATTTCGGGGCCTATCTCTCCCCTATGGGTACATGATGTGAAGGCGGTCGAGATGACCAGGAGGGAATCCGATGTCTTGGATATCAAAGCCTATGCAAAACAACAAGAAAGCGCACTCTACTCTTCAGTGGCTTCACCCAGGGACCCAACTCGCAAGCGAAAGCCGCCCAAGGCGGAAAAGCCACGCCCCATAGCTCCAATGAAGAAGATTTTGATGACTGTTTGGCCTGCGCTGACATGGGAGAAACGCATGGTCTTGGTACTGGGTTTCCTCTGTGCGGGTGTCCACGCAGCAGCAACACCGACATTCTCCTGGGTCTTTTCGAAACTCCTCGCGACATTCTATCTCGCCGACCACAGAGAGCGTTCGCACATGGCACGACAATGGTCGCTGATGGTGCTCGCGATAGCGGTCGTTGACTCTTCGGCGGCGTTCTCGATGCACTTTTTGCTCGAGTACTGCGGTCAGGCCTGGATCGACACCCTACGAATCGAAGCCTTCAAACGCGTTCTCGACCAACCCCGATCATGGTTCGAAAAGGATAGAAACAGTGTTTCCCGGCTCACTGAATGCCTAGACCGCAGTGCCGAAGAGATGAGGAATCTGTTGGGCCGTTTTGCAGGCTATGTATTCGTCGCCGTCACCATGGTGACCATGGCTATCATCTGGAGCCTCGTCCTAAGCTGGAGACTCACCCTGGTGGGCCTTGCATCCGCGCCTTTCATGTACGTCGTCACTCGCACCTTCGAAACCGTCTCCGGCCACTGGGAAAACAGAAGCAATGACGCAGCCACAGCTGCCAACACGGTCGCCACCGAAACATTCAGCAACATCCGCACCGTACGAGCCCTCACCCTCGAAGGCCACTTCCGCAAAAAGTACGCCGAGGCCATCTCCACGGCCCTCAAAGTAGGACTCAAGCGCTCCGCCTACTCCGGCTTCTTCTTCGGACTCTCCGAGTCAGGCATCCTGTTCGTGACCGCCCTGATCTTCTACTACGGCGCCATCCTCGTCTCCACGGGCGCACACACCACCGAGACCATCCTGACGGTCTTCACCATGCTCCTCTTCAGCATGTCCCAGGCCAACAACATCATAGCCTTCGTCCCCCAGATGAACTCCAGCCGGGACACCGCGACCCGTCTCCTCCGCCTCGCGTTCCTCCCCCACAGAAGCTCGCACGAAGGCACGGGCCACATCCGCCTTTCGCACCCCGGACCCATCACCTTCACCGACACCACCTTCGCCTACCCCGCCCGGCCCGACCACCCGGTCCTCTCCTCCCTCAACCTCACCCTCCACCCCGGCACCAGCACCGCCCTCGTCGGCGCCTCCGGCTGCGGCAAATCCACCATCGCCAGCCTCCTCCTGGCCCTCCACCCACCCGACTCCGGCACCCTAACCATCAACCACGTGCCCATCTCGCACCTGCACACCCCGACCCTCCGCACCCTCATCGCCCTCGTCCCGCAGCAGCCCGCCCTCTTCGCCGCCACCGTCGCCGCCAACATCGCCTACGGCCTCCCGGAGTCCTCCCCGCTCGCCTCCCCGCCCTCGATCCGCGCCGCCGCCACCGCCGCCCGCGTCCACGACTTCATCCTCTCCCTCCCGCAGGGCTACGGCACGCCCGTCGGCGCCGGCGGCGCGGGCCTCTCGGGCGGCCAGACGCAGCGCATCGCCCTCGCGCGCGCCCTCGTCGGCCGGCCCGGGCTGCTGGTGCTGGACGAGGCGACGAGCGGGCTGGACGGGGAGACGGCGGCCGAGGTGCGGGAGACGGTGCGGCGGTTGGCGGGGTGCGGGGTGGGCGTGCTGGTGGTGACGCATCAGCGGGCGATGATGGAGGGGTGCGGGGAGGTGGTCGTGTTGAAGGACGGGAGGGTGGCGGAGCGGGGCGGGTTTCGGGAGTTGGTGGGGGGGGGGGGAGTTGACGCGGTTGATGGGGGGAGTTAGGGGGAAGGGGGGGGTGAGTTTTTACGGAAAGTATGGGACTTGGATGGGTTCTGGGATGGATGCGCTTCGGTTTGGAGGGAAGGGATCATCTAAGGTGCATTTAGCAGGGGGTAAATATTGATATCCGGGTAACTTATGGGAATGGGCCATCTGCTGGCATCTGGAAGAGCAATTCAGTCCAACCGAATCCTCTGTCTTGACAAGTAAACCCCTTGCTCTAGCCATAGTTTATATGCATCCTCAGAGCTTCGTCAACGCAAGAGTGCCTCACCGAAAATCTTGCCAATGGCATCATCACATGTTTGCCGACATTCTTCTAGGAGCAGTCTCAGTATCAGTCAATTCATCACCTTCGACACAGCCATCAATGGTGTAGTCATAATCAAATCTTCGTGCAGGAGAACATGTTGATTATTAGAAGCGTTGATCGATTCATGTGGGCTCTAACGATATACCGCAGACTTTGCAAGATTTCATTCCTCGGCCATTCTCCATGCAGCTCCTCTGTCCATCGAATCCGTATCGTAAACGCTCTGCTCTGCTCTGCTCTGCTCTGCTCTGCTCTGCTCTGCTCTGCTCTGCTCTGCTCGAGGCCTCGAGAAGCTCGGATCTGCACCTTCCTTTTCGAAACGCCACCGTTTGTGCTGCAATCATCATAGATCTCCGAGCAAGCAAGCCAAGCCCAACCGATCGCTCCCTCGCTGAATCGCATATACACTTAAAACACCAAAATTCCACCGACATCATCGCTCTTGGTCACTGTGTTCTGCGGGCGTTCCTATTACCGGCGTAGCAGCAGGCGTACTCCCTGTAATCTGAATTGCCGGCAACCTCTCCCCAACCCTCAAGCTCGGCAACCTTGGCACACCCTCCCCCCTCCCGGCCACGGGACTCGTATAAGGCGGCGCGTCCTCATACTCCGGTGGTTCGCCCATCGGTGGGGACGGTTCACTACTTGTCCCTACGCTCGGCGTACGCATGGTCGGATCACTGCCGCTACCGCTTCTATCCTCCGACGAACTCTGGGGCGTCATGTCCGCGAGTTCGCTATCGGTCGTCATGACGGATTCCGCAGAAGCGGCTCGAGCATGGGAGTGGAAGCGGTGGGTAGGGAGGTGGAACAGGGAGCTGCGCCGCGAAGATGAGGCGTTGCGCTGGTCACCGCCCATGCTTGCTGCAGAATCGAGAAGAGGGCGATGGTCTGATTCGACACTATCGGCTCGTAACCTCGAGCCATCATGGCGTGCGAGACCTAGCTCAGCATAGCTAACGGAGCTGACACGGCGGTCGTTGCTAGAAGCACGGGCCTGGTGGTCTGCTATCATTGAGCTGGCGCTGGCAGCTGCGATGGGCAAGCTGGTTGTGCTACTGCCTGCACTCGCAGAACTTCCAGCACGGGCTCGAGCGCGTGCTTCACTTTGGAGACGGAGTTGTTCGAGACGTGCCCAGTCGCCTGCTTCTCTCGCTTCCTGACGTTCTCTTCGACGGTCGTTGCGTTCATTGATTTCCTGTCGCCGCGTTTGTCGGATCTGGTAGAGTGATTCCATGTCCTGCTCTCTTCGCTCTTCTTCCTCTTCTGCTGTTTCTGGAAATTCGACAACAGTGTCCACGCCACCGCGTTCGCCTTCACGAGCTATGAGGCGTTCATGGGGGTGAGGTGTTGGGTGATAGGGAGGAAGCGTCATGATGCTGCGAATGGAAGTGTTACGATTGACGCCATCGTTTGGCGGAATCTCGGCCAGAGAATGCATGGTAGATTCTCTCGTTGATGTATTGGTTGCAACGTATGAAGTCTCTTGATCCTGTATGCTCCTGGCGCCCGACTTCTTCTTGAACGGAAGTAGGCGTCCAGCCTTGTTCGTCCAAGAGCGCCATCTCGGGTCCTTCTTTGGGCTGGTGGAGTAGTTAGGAGGCCGTCGCTTTGCAACATAGACGTAGACTGCTATTAGTATGAAAGTGAGGGCGACTGCGATTGCTATGCCCTGCGCTGCGAGTCAGCCCCCATTTTCAAGGTTGTGCAGATTGCTTGTGGAACATACGATAACAACAGGTTTCGTCGAGCCCGATTGCAGACCCGTTGGCTTGGAAGTATTAGTCGCCCTCGCGGCGAGAGGAGCGACGGGCATGTTGAAGCCAAGAAGCTTCGGTTCGGCCGCCGAGTCAAGGCGGCCAAGGAAAGGATCCCCGGTGATGGGCGCTGTTACCTTACTGATTGAGGTGGGACAATGGCAGCACTGTTGAATTGTGTCAACTCATAAGGTGTCCTCTCTGTCTCTCTCTCTTTTCAAAATGATTAAAATTGATAAGTAGGTCTGGTAGAGCTGTTGGATGATGTTGTTACTCGTCCAGACCTGAATTCGTTCGTAAAGAAACAGGGAAACTCAACGGTCGGGCATAGAGTAAGCTTGCGTAAGGCTGAGATCAGCCAGTGAATCCAGCAATATTCAAGATCTCAAGTGTACACTCAATGATTGGATGGCCAGAATTACACTCGATATCTATTCACCCTGCGTGTTATCCTTTGTTTTTGACTTATTCTTGAAAGCTGAGACTGCCCAGTTCACAAACGCATCTGTTCGGCGGCTACATGCAGCTACGGAGGATTGTTTCACTCGCAAAAATATACAGATATCTCGCCATACATGCGAACTTATTCACTGCCTCTGTTCGCTAATTTGTTTGCCCCATCCCAAGGTCACCATTGGAGCGTTCTGCTTCCGTATGGTCCAAAGCATCGTACGCTGCCTGACGGTTTGCCGCTTTGGGCCCTGGTAAGTCCTATGAGCTTGCTTGCGATCGTGCACTTGAGCCGGTCGATGTTGTCTCTCTGGGGCTCATCTTTAGAGGATTGGAGTAGCACTTGTGGCTAGCATGTGTCAAGCACGTTGCAAGATGGGTTAAATTCCCATGAGTTTCAGCAATTGATCGGCGCGCGCTGGGTGGAGTGATTCGGCATGTCTCGAATTGTACAGCCTTCTGCCGCATGGATGCTTGGGAACTCGATGGCTTCATTCGGTCAGACAGTCATCGATGTTAACTCTTTTATAGAAAGAGATGTGGCCGAAATCCTGCAAAATGGATTAGCGAGAGGGAATGACACAGTGGTCACAGATATACTCGACTCACCTCCCAATATTGTGCCAGAGAGTCATGAGAGATCATGATCAACTGCGACGATATGAATCTGTCATCCCGATACCCTCTTCCAGCGATATGACCCCAGCTTCTGACCGTTCTTGCTCCGTCGAACATTTGCTCTTTTGCTACACGTATTAGCCCATTCGGTCCGATATCCTCCGCAATCCAGGTATATTCTCCTCTAGGAACGTTAATGTCGCCCGTCAATTTGATGGCCTCTAGTCTGCCCGAAGGGCCTTCCGCAGCTGAGGCTTGAGCGTCTGGGTGTGCAAGGCTATCATCCTGAGTCGTTGTGGTTCCTTGCGCTTCTTTGTCAAACCCATTCCCAAAATCTTCCATTGGTTGCCGTGTAGAGGGGCCTCCAGTCTCCACAATATGGTCCGAAGGAACCAAAATCTGGCTCTCTATAGCTTCCGCTGAACGCCGGACACGGTCTGGGTCTTGCAGCCCCATATCGGCATCAGCCATTGCCATAGCCATGCCTTGCGGCAAGGAGCCTGTCGATGGTGTCCTAGAAAGGGCCATGGGCGATTCAACATCACGCTGTAACACGAGTAGGAACTCGCAGCCGTGGCCCGAATAGTCTCCAACCCAAATCCCCTGCCACGGCTTTTCCTTAGTAGGCATGTAAGACTCCTCAAGCAGCGTACTGAAAGTCATGACTTCCTCTGCCATCCGCACTGCGTTCAAAGGCTGTATCAAATTGGAAAACTCCAGCCATTTCCGTATTCTGAAGGTTCGGTCACTCATGAGATCCAACGTCTGAGGCCGATGTTCCTCTGTTCGGAACTTGGTTGCAGATTCATTGCGTACTCGGTCTTTCGCGGGAATGTTAGCAGGTGGCCAAAGCGCCATGGCGGTGGTTTGTAGGGCTTTGGGGATTGGCCGGCAGAGAGATATCATTGAGCAGATGCCGTGCGTTGTTCCCGTCTGCATGGCAACTTCCTTCTGCAACCGGTTGTCATTGTAATGGATACCTGTGTTAAAACCAAGCTTGATCACTGGATCATCGAGCCACAGCCTGACCCTAGGGTTGAAGGTGTGAATGATAACCTCACGGTTGTGCGCCCATGTCTCATAAGTATGAGCCCCATGCTCTGCAAGAAGCCGAAAGGCCTCGATGCAACCATTTTGACTATTGTAACGTGCCAGTATCAACAGCCCGTTGTTGGGGACATCGGCAAACCATATCTTGTTCTGGACCAAGAACCAGTAGGGATGATTGGCAATGTAGACCTCTCTCCAGCTCTTCGCTGGCGATGGAGACTCGAGAGCGCCAGAGCCAGGTACGTTATTCCGAACGAATGGCATCCATAGAAGATCATTGAGGGCGTGGGAGCGTAGGAGACCACAAGTGCGTGACAAGCTGGCGAGGGAAGCAGGAGGGAGGAAGGCGAGGATGTGACTGATAATCTCAGCAGGTAGAGCTTCGAGGTTTGAGGTCCGCGGAGTCATGGTATTGCGAGGATCGAGGTGCACTGGTTCGATTGCTTCAGGTGTGGCGGTCGATTCTTTGACGATGGGACCAGAGACGGTGGATGATGGTAAGGATGTCGAAGGGGACTTCAAGAGTGCAATGATGCTCTCCATCTTTGGGATGATTGTTCAATGCCCAGCTAGCAAGAGTCCAACATTCCAAGTCTGCTCCGCGAGCCGGCAAAATAATGACGATAGTAAAAAGGTGAAAAGAAGGCTTTCTCGCTTATGTGTTCTAGCGCAATCTTCCGCGAGGCCACAGATTGCTCTTGCCTAAAGCTCATTACGATGCTTGACTGCATGGCATTCATCTTCATGAATAATGATGTGATTAACGTGAATGACGAGACTTTATGCGGCTGAGTTGCAATTCTAGGAAGGTGGCATACGCTCCAAACTTTGGTACAACGGAAACATACTTTAGCCCAAGAGTACCTAGGTCCTAGAGGGTAAGGTACTTTACCTGACCACTGACCCCACCCCAGATCCCCATAGCTCATGCCAGATTCGCGGCAATCTGCATCCATGATACGAGACATATACATGCTCCTTCTTCAAGGAGACAAGCCGACTACATCATCTGCTGCCAGGCGAGCCGAGGTGGAAGATGAAGTGCGATAAGTTGTACCTTCGTATTAAGTATCAGCGTGACAGCCAATACCTCCCAGAAAACGGAACGAGAAGCTAAGAACCCAAGCACTAGCGATTTAGGTTCAAGTCACGAGATCCAATCGTTCTACGCGCCAAGACTTCTTCTCAGACGCGCCGTTGTTGAGCCTTACAGGGCTTAGGCTTTGTTTACAAACATCAAGGTATGACTGCAGCCTACAAAGCTTCGAGCTCCATCTCCAGCACTCCTTTGTTTACCACAGCTGTTTTTGCTGTTGACACTTGCTCAACACGCGATCCTTTTGCTCAAATTCATGCTCTTTCTCTCTCTTTTCCTTCCTTCCTACATCTCCAGAGCCAATGCACAATAGCCGCCTCGCAATGGCAATGAACACTCCTCAAGTCGAAGTGGTGGACATCACAGACGACAGACCTCTAGCTGTTCGTCGAAAGCGACGCATCAGTACTGGGCTTGTGGATCCCGTAGACATACCGAAGTTGGAGCCAAGTGTCGAAGTTGAAGAGAGCTCTCGAGAGGCTCCCAAGACGCCCACCAAGTCCAAGAAACGAGTGCGCTTTTCGGACCCAGGTCCCGAGCTTTCAGCGCCATCTACATCCACCGGACTCACCCCTTACCTCAAGCGAACAACCTTCACCCCACGGGCTCAGGGACCTTCAACGCCACGGCTACTGGCCGCCGGCACAAGACGTCTTTCGCTTCCCGTACAATTATCGACGTCACTACCATCTCCATCCCTGTCACCGTCACCAGGCCCATTTTCAGGCGAATTTCAATTCGCCCCGCTGCGTCAAGTACTCGATAACCGGCTGAAGCGGCGCTTAAGGAGAAACAATCTGAGTGGTGAGATCAATGACATAGACGAGGAAAAGAAATCAAAAAGGAAGTTGGAGCAAGAGATACAAAGCCTCAAGGATGAGCTGGCAGTGGCCAAACAGTCCGGCAAAGAACACAGCGATGGATCGGACGGAGAAGCAGCGGGTGCTGAGAGAATCCGAGAGTTGGAGCAACAGCTGGTCGAGCTGAGGAGAGAGATGCGCGAGCGATCAACAACTGCTGAACCTGTCGCTGGGAGTGATGACCTCCCGGACACGGTATCATCGCCTATGGAGATCTTTGTTGACAACGCAGATGAAGATTTTATTGCAACAAATTTCGACGACAATGGAGCTCTTCAAGACCAGACCCCGGTCGGAGTCCTGCAGCCTGTCAACGAAGCGGGAACTCAGGTCGCACTGCCTTCGCCCACTCACACTGAGACATTCCGTTTCGCTAGGATTTCACTGGAGTACCTCTTTCCCGGAGAAATCGCGCTTGGTCTCATTCCCGAGGACCCAAAGCCATTGCTCGACGTCATGCTCGACCGCATGCGAACTCTAAAGGCTCAAGCCTTTATGGCAGAAGGTTCATTGAAAGCTACCGAAACCCAAGAATCAAATTTGCGAAACCAATTCAATGCAGTGCTTGCACAATTGGACCGTGCACGTGTCTATGCCGACGACTTGAGCAAGCGTCACTCAAACGAAAAAACCAGAGCCGACAATGCGCAAGCGAGAGTGAGCATGCTGGAAACAAGCCTCCAGAACACGTCGAGCAAGGCGACGGACTTGGCAAGGGATGTTGACGAGAAAGAACGCTCAATTGGAAAGCTTCAGGACGCGCTTGAATCTTACAGAATCGAAGTTGGCAAGCTTGAAATGCTCGTCACTAGAAGCGAAGGCGAACATGATACAGCCATCTCTCAGCTGCGCTCCGAAATGGATGAAGCTGTTGCAGACCTTGAGTGTCACGTCGCCGCAGAGACTAGGGGAAGACGTGAAGCTGAGCAGGAAGTGCAGGAGAGGAATGTGAGAATCAAAGAGCTCAAGGTTCGCGAGCAAGAACTTCAGGCCGCGGTCAATGAGAAGCAGGAAGTCATTCGGGAGACCGAGGCAGTCTTCGCTGAGGAGAGGACTGGAAGGGAGCGAGAAGTTGGCGGGCTGAATGTGACGATTGGGCAACTGAGTACTGACCTTTCGGAATGCAAGGCCAAAGTGGCCGCCGCCGAGGAGAAGCAACAACTGCTGATGAGAAAATTGCAAGAAGAGCGTGACGCAGGCTTGCGTGCTGTTGAAGCTGTGCAGACTGAGCTCGCAAGCTGCACGGAGAAAGCCGAGGGAGTCAAGATTGCTCATGTGAAGGACGTGCAGATGAGGGGAGCCGAGGTGACGGAGCATAAAGGTCTCCTAACCCCTGTCAGTGTGACGAGATTCAGAGATGTGGAGGGCTATGTAGAATTCAGACGTGGTAAGAAGGGAAAGCGACCTGACAGTGGGATTGGAGTCCTGGAGGAGGACGAGGATGAGGATATGATCATGGCTGATGATTTGTAAATTTGCAAGCAAGCAAGCGGTAATATTGTGGCAGGAGTTCTGAGCTTCTGTACATTGTACGCATCTTTCTCAGCTCATAGTACAAACTATCCACTCACCAATGGCCTCGATCACAATCATCAAAAGTTGATGTTTCTCTTGATGTGTCAGGGGTGAAATTGATGCCAGAAGTTCAAGGCATCACGTTCATTCCTCGTAAGGCTGATATATTGGCGTCTAGAGGTAGGCCCACTCTACGAAGGTAATTTAATCTGCCCTGGACCTATCCACCATTAAGCCAAATAGATTGGCAAATATGCTTTCAATTCCATTTCCATTTGGCCCTGTCCTCTAGCTGTACGACAACCTTTACCTCGCCCTCACCAGCCAATCATCCCAAAACTCCATCCAGAAACAAAAAACCGCCTACCTACCTACCAATTACCCTTTCCCTCTTCAGCGCACACCCTGCGCCATTCCCCGTCTAACTACCTAGACCTCGCCGCACTCCCCAATCCAACCCGAACATCTCCAGCCCACCACCACAACCATGTCCCTCGTCCTCCTCGCCCACGCCTGCTCCCACCTCCAAAACGCCTCCAAGGCGCGCCTCGGCCTGACCTCCCTGCCCTCCACGACCCAACTGCACACCCTGCTCCTCCAGCTGCAGAAGTGCGGCTACGTCAACACGGTCGTGGTCGGCGGGCCCACGCCGCCGCCGCCGAGCGCGTTGGCGCCGACCATGAGTGCGAACCCGGAGGCGAGGAGGGAGATCGGCGGGGGGGGCACGTTGCGTTTTGGGGGAGGGGTGACGTGGGGAGGGAGGGAGGAGGAGGGGAGGGGGAAGGGGAAGGGGAAGGGGAAGGGGGAGGGGAAGAGGGGTCCGGGAGCGGCGATGTGTGGGAGCCGGTTACGCAGGAGAATGTCTCGTCGCGGCGGTTGTGGGTGGGGTTGAAATATTACAACAGCCGGCCCGTGCTGGAGAAGATGCGGTTGGTGTCGAAACCTACGCGGCGGGTGTGGATGCCTATTGGGGATATAGAGGCGTTGGTGAAGGGGGAGAGGAGGGGGTATGTGAATGGTTTGAGGGGCATCGGGGAGAGCATGTTTGTGACGACGGATCGGGGGATTATGGAGGCGAGGGAGTGTGTGGAGAGGAGGATTGGGGGGATGTTGCTGTGTCGGGTTAATCCTGTGTCCTGGTGAAAAGGGAAAGGGGGGCAATAGATTCATTCGAGTATGGTGTTAGCGTTGCCTGGGTTGCATTGGTCGATGTCTCGAGTGTACAAAGAGGAAGAATCTTCCATGCTGAGGTTTGCAGGCCAAAGACACAGCTGCAAACCGAATATTACAGAGCTGATTGATTAACGCACGAGGGCAAGCTTATTAATTGTACATACTGCCAGCTTTCAAAGCTAGCTACGCTCCGGTGAGATGCCATTAAATGCACCGTGGTATAGAACTCCAAGCCCTCAGCTTATGTTCTCAAACGCTAGAATCTCAGACCTGCTGCAAACGACGGGACCAGACCGCCGAGACCAGCAGCAATTTCGCATCATTGCGATGGAAGTGAAGCAGCAGATGCCAAAGCAGCGTCATCAATGCCGTTGTCTACTCCAGTTGTTTTTGGGGCTTCGCTGGAATCAGCCGGGGTTTGTACCGGTGGTGATGGAGCTAAATCCGTTGGCTGACCCCCCTTCGTTTCGACATTCTCGCTCTTCGCTTTCTCACTTCCATCACTTTGTCTTATGTTCCTTACCCCGTTAGTCTTCTTGGGTGGGGTTTTGGCTTCCACCTTTTCGTGCGTTTTCTGGGATGAGCTCTGAGTTGGACGCATCATTCTGTCCAGGAAACTCCCTTCCGGGGCCTTTGAGCTTACGCTACTCAGCCGCGACTTTGGCTTATCTTTTGCCTTTTCTGCCGGCTTCGAGCCGGCAGGCAGCGATGTACGAGCCGGCTTTTGCCGCAGCGATGTTGGATTCGAGGGGACGCGGTCCCTGGGTTTGGTTGCAGCGGCCGATGCTGCGTCGAGTTTGGCGGCAGATGCGGCGGTTGATGCAGTAGCCGAGCCAGGTAGTCGGACAGGACGTGTTGGGGACTTTGGACGCGGCTTAGTGAATGACGGTGGGGATGTGGGACCTAGTTTCTTCCCTGGCTTCTGTGCGGGCTTCGACGCCGCTGCAGGGGCTTTTGGTACCACAGATGGCCGACTTGGTCTTTCAGCAGTCGTACTCTTTGCATCCTTAAGGACATCGTTCTTTGGCTCTTTCGAAGCAGCTGACTTTGGTGATATCTTTTTGGTGAGCGGTTGCTTGCTAGGCGTTGCTGTATTTTGGGGTGTAGTGGGCGTGGGGATTGTGGACGTTTGGGTCTTGTTCTCGGCCTTTGCCTTAGTGGAGGTTGCTGGCTGAACAGCTGATTTCTTTCCAATAACAGAAGGACGAGAAGCTATCTTGGGTTTGGACTGCAATCCAGTCTTTTGTGCCGGAGACTCCTTTGGCTTGCCGTTGGGCGTTGGAGTGCTAGGGCCGTTGGCCTGTTGTTGCGAAGATTGCGTTAGCTCAGCAGCCGCTTCATTTTCTCGGGCGTTCGACGCTTCGCCCTTGTTTTCATCTTGCTCGAACGGTGACCCTTTCAGTATAGACCCCAACGGCGACGCTGCCCCATCTAGAGCAGCCCCACCGGAGACTGCAGCTACTTCCTTTGGATCTGATGGTAGCATAGCAGCAGTATTGTCTTCCGCAGTAGAATTTGGCTTGTCCGGATTGGCAACCGAAAGGACACCATTCATTATTCCCGACTTCTTTTGAGGTGTGACGTCCTTTTTCGGAGAAATCTTGGGTGTCGTCTGTTTAGGCGTGTTCACCTGCCTTTGGGTAGCTTTTTGAGGGGTCGACTCAATGCCATTGGGCTTCGGCTTTTCCACCGCCCCGTTCATTGTAGATTCTGCGATCCCGTCACCATTTACTACGTCACCCTCATTACCCAATTCTTCAGATGCATTGTAGTCCCCCATCTCTCCACTAGGCTCGACAGCAATAAAACTCGTTCGAACTTTCGAGATAGGACGTGAGGCGTCGCCTGTCACGCTCAACGATGCAGCTGGAGAGCGGCCGCGGGAAGGAGGGGAGGTGGATTCGTCCTTTTGTTCGAATTTTGCCCGCAAGGAAGCAACACCGCTTGGTCCGCTTGGTGAGATGCCTGCTGACATGACTGAAGCATCAAGCACTGTTAGCAAATGCAATGCTGGCAACTGTGGTTGTGGGGTCCAGGTAAAAAGTGAGGCATGGTTGGGCAGAGTTGCATTAGGCCTAAGCGCGTCTTGAGGAATGGAATGTTTGCTGACAGGCGGAATAGACTCACAATTCTCGGACTAAATGAGCGTGTCTGCTTTGATTGTGCAAACGTGTTCTGGCTTGCTAGAGAAACGGTGACTGAACTGGAGCTCGAGCAAGTTGCTTAGGGGTTTAAAAGGAGTGTTTACATATTATTTTTGAAGGTGATTAATCAATCTTGTTTCCTCGCTACGCCTTCCTCGTTGGGAATGAACTACATCCTATTTTAAGGTTTTCCTACCACATTTGTTCAATTACAATCGTCATATTGTCACAACTGGTTGGAATTCCTCTTCCAACGACAACATTCTTTGGGTCCCTGCACCGTCCAGCATATCCAAGACTGGGCCCTGCCTCCGCCAATTACATGCTCTAGACAAATCGTCGAGTCTTTCGAAATGGTCCAGCCATCGAGTAGCCCAAGCGGCAATTTCGATATATCATACCACTAGAAGAATCCGTTATCCAAACGACAATGGCTTCTGTCCTTTACTTTCTTGATCATCGAGGTGCTGAAGAGCTTGTGGGTCACATAGAGTATTCGGCTGTGTCAGCCTATTTTCTTCTCCAATTTTTTGAAGAAGCGATTGACCTTCTTGTCAACATTTTCCACACCGTGCTCGAGTCTGCCTTGCGGCTGTTTTGACGATTTTGACGGCTTGCGCCCATGAGTCTCTTCTTCTGTCGGTCTGTACACTTGACTATGAACATCGTATTCATTACCTTCATTGTGATGGTGGTGATGGTGCTGCTGCTGCTGCTGTTGCTGTTGCTGTTGCTGCTGGCTGTACTGGTAATTAGAATAACCGCCCATTGGTGGCTCATGCCCAGGTGGAGTGTAGTCAGCGTATTGCGGGTGCAGATGCTGCAAAGGCTGCCGGTTGCCGGCCACATAAGAGTCTCCGAGAATCTCGGTGGCAGGAGATTGTAAAGGCGCGCTATCTTTCCCATAGAATGGAGCCATCGAGTCTTGAGGAGGGGCACTAAATGTTGGAATAGTTTGCTGAGAGTGCACTGAGGCGGAGTTTGATGGGCTTTGAGGAGGTGCGGCAAACGAAGGGGTTGGTGTGTACGGGCTGACAGAGCCCCTACCGCTCTGTGGTGGAGGGGGTGGGAGTGACGACACGCTTGACGCTCTGTAGTTTGCCAACGATTGCGAGTTCGCATAGCCAGCGGAAGGATGTGGAGAAGCGAGAGAGGGTGTGTGGGATTGCGCTGGTTGAGGACTAAACAGGCCAGATGATTGATGACCGTATTGAGGGCGAGACATCGAGCTTTGAGGAGAAGCTGCCTGTGTATGATCTCGCAAGGCAGCAGCCGCAAGTCCTGTGCCTGCTTCAGCATCAACGGGTGGTGGGGTTTTTTCGCGAAGCTTGATGGGCTCTGGCGCTGGAGGGGCAGCTGGATTGTAGGCGAGTGGCTGAAACATCGTTGGAATCTGGGCTTTCGGTGTATCTTGAGGCTGGAACGCTGTTGGGATTTGCGCCTTTGGGGTACCTTCCCGATTTTCCTCTCTGGAGGTGCCTATGTTCAGCGGAGTTACTACGCCTGCTGACTCTGTCCTTGAGTTGCGCGTTTGCCCATTACGGTAAGCTGGGTCCTGAATTGCAACATTCTCGAGCTTCTGTACCACAGGGCTCATTACTTGGTCGTGGGACGCGGGGGTGGGCGGTACATCGACAATATCGATCTGGTCGACTTCGAGCTTCTTTCTGGCCAATGTAACAAACGTATTCGCATCCTCCGCTGTCCAGAAATAGATGTCGAGAGTGTGAAGTCGGAAAAGGTACTTCCCCTCGTTGCGAGGATCGGTGTTCGGGAGCCTCCAGTGATGTTCCGGTTGCTGTACAAGCGATGCTGTCCCGTTATGATGACTGCCGTAGCCGTCGACTACGATGGTACACAAGGTAGGATGTTTGTGCGACTGGCGCAGAGTTGTTGATTCCATAGCTGCAACCATGAAGACATTCAGCTATCTCACCTCCCCTACAGTGGCATGTATCGCCGGGACTCACAGCCAGTAAAAGCATCCTGTTCTGGCTTGCCAACATTGTTGGCTACCTCCAGTCTGCCTCCATTACCGCTCTTATTGCCATAGAGGTAAAGGTACGATCCTTTATCGAACCGATGGGCTGCTGGCCGTGGCGTAGGGGCGCTAAAATAGTAATGCACATCGGCAAAACTGTGTAAGGTCAGTACATCAGCTCATACAGAGATCTACCGGAGGGCTCATACACTGTCAACAGACGCTGTTCTCCTTCCTGTGCTGACATTTCTTTAGATTCGGCCCCGAAAGATTTGTTCCAGTTCCTGTCCCTTGTACACAAGCTTAAGTCTCCTAACCGCTATATCAAGTATGCCTATCATGAGCAGCACAAGTAGAAAAGAAAGAGCATCAAACGGAGCTCCTCCTCCAGCTCCGCCGATTCCTTGGCATCCTTCCGATTAGATAGCCAAGCGCGCGCGACTCCAGCCTTACAACATAGAAATTCGCACACTTTCCACTTCCACTTCTCCTTCTGTAGCAAAGTACCAAGAAAACCTGGGCCTCTTCTTAAAGCATGTTTGTATTTACGAACTGTGCCCATACAACCAACTAGGTAGTCTACAATGAAAGATTGTTTGACCAACGAATACTTCCCACAATCCTCTGTCACTTTTGCTCGTTCTTCAAGTATCAATCACCTTATGCACAGGCCTGTTAAGTCGTTGAGTTGCGGTGTGAATAATTCCCTCCACAACCGCGCCAGCTATCAAACTCACATCTATAGCAACGAGAGAAACAATGGACAAATCTCAAGAAACGAGTGTGACGGAGCGAAATGTAGCATTGTTGGAATGGTATCTTACCTTACCTGTTTTAACGACAGTGGTTTTGAGGCTCACACTGCCTTTTAGGTATGGACGGCTTTCGGTCAGGAGAGTCGATCTCGTGGGCGATTATGCTGGACAAGAGTTGTTCCTTCTCGAAGGAGATTCGCTTTTGCTACGATGCTTCAGCAATGCAGACCTGGATCTTGATCGTAAGTTGCAATGAATAGATCAGTCGGACGATTGGTCTTCGGACAAGCTGATGTCGGACTCGAAATAGGCGGGTTCCAGCTTCTTCACGCTGTCTACGCTGTTGAATATTTCTTACAGGGGTTGATCCAGCGGAAATGCAACTTTCACGTTGTCTTTTTCGACAACCATAGAGAACTCTGTCTCCCACGTGGAGTCCCAGTCATTGATAGACCAAAGTACCTACTTGCCAGAGCTGCCATTCAGAGACATCTCAGTGTCAATCTCCGACAATCACACCCAGCTCTTGAGATTCATTCCTTTGCATCAGAGCAAGACACAGCATTTCGAGCGTACTTGAAGGCGACAGGCATCTACTTTGTGATGTGTCACGATGGCGCAAATCCAGTCCCACTATCGACCGACCCATCGTTACCAGGGGCAAAGGAGAAGATCAGGCCGAGATCGACGCCCAGGAAACGTCGCGAAAGGTTGCATTTCGAACCATGATTTGTTGGCTGATAAATGAAAGTTACAATGTCGCCCTTATCAATGGATTGGAATGGGCGGACACAAAGGTAGCTTGTGTCTGCAATTTGAAAGAAAGTTTTCACCCACTGACTCCATCCAGGTGATGAGTATGGTGGTGGAAGGTGGGCGTAAAGCGAGATTCAACTTCGAGTACGAAGAAACTGTCCCTAGCCTGTCAAGTCCCAATGATCATGGTAACGTCCCCTTCCTGGAGCAAGCCATGGTCAAACTTGATCTCAAAAGTCAGGGAAACGCTATAACAGGGATACACAAGTGCCAATGCAAGTCTTCTCAGGCGGTCGACATCACTCGAGCTTCCACTGAACGTGAATTGCTGACTGTTGTCACTCTTGCTCAAATGCTCGAGGACGACCTCGCCGTGAGAGACCTTGCGACACACTTTCTTGCCCATACTGCTCTGATAACATCATTACGTCTTTCAAACAGGCGGCAACCAAAACAGAAATCCAATAGTGAAGAACAATCTCGGCTACAGTCCTTCATCGCCAAGTTTTCGAGAGTGTCAAGCACTCTGATTGCAAGCGGCGCTTGGTCAGAAGCCATGGAAGCTGGAACAGTACCATGTGATGTTTCCGATTTGATCGATGGTCGACTATTTGAGGCTGTCACGATGGGTGAGAGTGAAGGGGGTTCCCCTCACCAGCCGACCGCAAGCTTTGAACATCTCGCCCGCAATCTATGCACATTATCCGGCTTTCACCTGAAAATGCCTACGAGCTTGCAAAACATTACCTCACATGCTAACGAGATCAATGGCTCGAGCTCGGATGCTCTTGCAATCCTGCCGTTCTCTAACCCGGTTTTCGATAAGCATCTAACATCGATAAACCTTCGTGTCGCACCGCTCAAGTCGTCCGACCGGCAGTCCGGGCGAATTTTCCAAGAAGTATCGCATTGGCATAATGCGAAGAGACGTCTTGATCCAAAGCAGGGTCAGCAAACACCTGCATCCGCAAAGGATAAGGCCCGTAGTCTCAAGCGGGATCAGCGTTTCATGGCCGAAATGCAATCCTACGCTGCCAGTCTGACAAACGCTGCTGGAAAGGCTTTGGAGCCAGAGATAGTCACGGTGTCGGATTCTAAGGGTGTCAAGGCTCAAGTTGCCAAAGAACATGACAGTACAGGAGCAGCCAACAAGAGATCCTTGGGGGCAAAAGCCACTGCAAACCGCAAAGGTGCTAGTAAGAAGGCCATGATGAACGATATTGCCGCGAGCAAAGCGGTCAAAGATAGCGAGACCGAGGACAAGTTGTTCGCGGCGTGGAGAACCGTGAGGAACAACCTGGAGTCTGAGCGCAGTCTCCAGTCAAAGTACCACAAAATAAAGGCCTATCTGCGGGACCTCTCTGATCAAAAACGTAAAATCCTCGAAGCTGAAGTGCAATTCCATCTCTTAGTGATCTTATTCGAGATATATCGAACCCTACACAAGAGTGCAGATGCGCAAACCACATTTTCGTCGTCAAAAGAAGAGCTCTTTGGAGTGATCTCGCTGTTATGGGATACTTCTCGCAGGATCGCCACGCTTGACAACCTGACGATCACTATTGCAGAAAGCCTCAAAGGGATCATCAACGCTCTCAACTTGCCAGATCCGGGGGTGCCCACCGTGAAGATCGACCGAAAGCTGGCTTTTGATCCGGGGCTTCTGATGCCTAAAGGAAACGAACTCGCGATAGACTTGGAAGGCCAAGACTTTCAGCTCCTGCATTGTGGTCCATACATGGACCGAAACCTTGATTCAGCACCAGACTCGAGAGTGCCATTCCACCCAGATGGCTGGCAACGACGGGTTCTGGACGACTTGGATGCGCAGAAGAGTGTCTTTGTGGTCGCTCCTACAAGTGCCGGGAAAACGTTTATCTCTTTCTATGCAATGGAGAAGATTTTGAGGGGCAATGACGAAAATGTACTGGGTATGTCTCGGAAAAGTCCTGTGAATGTATATTGCTGACGAGTTAGTATATGTCGCCCCTACCAAAGCACTTGTCAACCAGATTGCTGCCGAGATACAAGCACGCTTCAAGAAGAGCTATAAGCATGCCGGAAAATCAGTCTGGGCAATCCATACACGGGATTACCGAATCAACAATCCGTCGGGTTGTCAAATTCTCGTGACGGTACCACACATTTTGCAGATAATGCTACTCGCTCCAAGTAATGCCAAATCATGGTCACCCAGGGTAAAATACATCATTCTCGACGAGATACACTCGATTGGCCAAGCAGAAGACGGTGTTGTTTGGGAGCAGTTGCTGCTCTTGGCACCATGCCCCATCATTGCTCTCTCCGCTACAGTGGGCAACCCGGAGGACTTCAATTCCTGGCTTACCGCGACTCAGCGATCGTCAGGTTTCGAAATGTCCATGATCACCCATCAACACCGATATTCAGATCTACGGAAATTCATGTTCAGTCCTCCAAAGCGGTTCGCGTTCCGTGGATTGGCAGACCGCCCCTCATTTGCAACATTAGGTCTTGACGGCCTACAAGGTCTGGCATACATTCATCCTGTTGCGAGCTTGATCAACAAGTCGCGGGGCATACCCGACGATCTAAGCCTCGAAGCTCGCGACTGTCTGTCGTTGTTCCAATCCATGTCTCGGCACCAGACGAAAGAATTCCCTATCGATCCGGCTTTGAACCCTTCACATAAGGGGTCACCTAAAATCATCAGGAAAGCAGATGTTATTGAGTGGGAGGCTTCTCTCAAGAATCTACTCAAGGTGTGGATGGCGAATGATCAATCGCCTTTCGACAAGGTGCTTGAGGATCTCGGCCGCGCAATGGATGTTACTAGCACCATTGAGAAGCAGTCGTTGAAGGGTACTGTACCTAGTGAGTTGGAAAAAGACATGGTGGCAGTTAATCCAGAAGATTTGTATGCCACCACTTTACCTCTTCTCTGCAAGCTCCATGAGAGGGATGCACTTCCAGCGATCTTCTTCAATTACGACAGACATAGATGCGAGGGCATTTGCCAGGCCGTCATACAGCAATTAATAGAAGCAGAGGTACGCTGGAAGGAATCAAGTCCCGTGTGGAAAACTAAACTCAGCGGCTTTGAAAGGTGGAAATCCGAACAAGCAAAGATGGCTGGCAAAAGACCGGCAAAGAAAGTTCCGTCAAGAAAAGGAAAGGGAGATGGCGATGATGATGATCCATCATCAAAGATGGACAAAATCCAAGACGCCGCCAGCGATGAAGCGAATCCGTATGCCAACTTCGATCCTGATGCGCCAGTTGATGGCTTTCACTTCGCAGCGAGACAGAAAGCTGAGGCCTCAGAATTGAACATGTATTATGGTCAGATGAAATGGAGAGGTTTGCCTTCTTGGCTGACGGACGGATTGCAGAGAGGCATTGGTGTCCATCATGCTGGTATGAATCGCAAGTATCGTCAAGTCGTCGAAATGCTATTCCGCAAAGGATATCTACGAGTTGTTATAGCCACCGGAACGCTGGCACTTGGAATCAACATGCCCTGTGCCACGGTCGTGTTTTCAGGAGATAGCATCTTTCTGACGGCATTGAATTATCGACAGGCTGCTGGACGTGCAGGGCGTCGGGGATTTGACCTGCTTGGAAATGTTGTCTTCCAGAACATAAGCCAAGGCAAGATATGTCGCCTTTTAAGCTCTAGGCTGCCGGACCTCAACGGCCACTTTCCCATCACAACGACGCTGGTTCTACGACTGTTCTCTCTGCTCCATGACTCCGACGACTCTCAATACGCGGTGAAGGCCATTAACTCGCTCCTTTCACAACCGCGGCTCTATCTCGATGGGCCGGCTTTCAAAGACCAAGTACTCCATCATCTCAGATTCTCGATTGAGTACCTTCGAAGACAGGATCTTCTCAGCTCCCAAGGAGCCCCAATCAATTTCGCAGGCCTGACCTCACACCTCTACTTTACCGAAAATTCGAGCTTCGCTTTGAACGCTCTCATCAAGGGTGCGTATTTTCACGAGCTGTGCTCTGAGATAAACACCAAGGAGTCTCACGTTGTTCGCATATTGATGGTCGTAATGGCTCATCTCTTCGGTCGACGTCCATGTCGAGAGGTAAATCATTTGATTGTTTTCCTCAAAGATTGGAGTTGCTGTTACATGCTGACTCGCGCTTCAGGCTGATGAAGAGTACATCGAGAACATTGTGAAACGATCTCCATCTATCGTCTTTTTACCACCCTTGCCTGCACAAGCTGCTCATATCCTTCGCGCGCACAACGAAGATACTTTGCAGGTCTTTACGACATACGTTAGGACATTCGTAGATCAGTACGTCAAAGACGATGACCGCAAGCTGCCACTGACGGGCATCGAGGCTGGAGGCGCCAACGACAATGTCATTTTCTCTGGCTCCCTGCCTCCCACCAAAGTCAGGTCGGCTTTCGTTGCTCTGTCTGGCCACGGCGACAAGTTTGAGAGCATTTCAGATCTCTGCCGTACGACCAGAAGCGGTGTGTTTTTGGAGGAAGCGGTTATACCGCATCTGGATGTCTATCCGGACGAGTCCAAGACCCCTCTCAATGCATGTAAGTAGCGAACAGCCACCATCATTCTTTGGAGTAGTGCTTGGCTGACCATGTCTGCTTCTGTCTTTAGACCTGTATGATTTCTTCATGCACGGTGATCTCGACGCGTTGGAAAAGGCAAACGGCGTTAAGAAATCGGACGTATGGTTCCTTCTTAACGGTATGAGCCTGTCCAACAGTGTCCTTCCATGCGCAAGTACCATTTGACTAACGGAAACCACAGACTTCTCTCTCGTACTCGCCACCATCTGCGCCTCACTAGCCAATTTTCTCAAGCTTCCTGAGTCCGATTTGAGTCTCCTCGACGTAATCGGAGAAGGCGACGAGAACAATAACCTGGAGGATGATAAATTTGGCGGGGACTCCACGACAGATACTGAGAGCACCACAGGCTCAACAGCAACCACTGACACAGGGAGAACATCCGTCACTACTGCTTCCTCGTCGAGCAGCAAGCCAAAGCCCAAAACGAAAGTGGCTGAGGCATGGGATGATTCAGATGCCGACGAGGCAAGCGAGCCGGAGGGAACGAATGTGGCTTTAGACAATGACCCAAGCAAAGAAGAATTGGAAAAGGGTTTCCTCAACGTCTACAAAGCCATGACGAAGTTACGAAGTGAATTTGACACGAAATTCCGAAAGATTTTCGCATGAGTGGCATGATTGCGCGGTCCACAAACGTACTTTCTATAGACAGATAGGGGCCAGATTGCGTTCTTAGCAATTCCAGTGGATACCATTGACCCAGACCTTGACTGGAACGTTGGTGGCTAACGTTCGAGGCGTGCCTCGTGATGGCCGGGGTGGAGAACCGCTGCTTCAGCATTGATTTTCACCCTTCATCGGGTGTTGCAACCCCCGACAGCCATGAGAAAGCAAGATGCGTCAAATGTTGAAAGGTCTGAAATGCCGAACAAATGACGCATTGTGAATGGTACCAGACTTCAATCGAACGCCACCGACTCCATCTCTTCCCGTTGGCCAAGGGCACATTGCGAAAGTAAATTATGTTCAGGACGAACGATCCTACAACATCAGAAGGCCTGGCCAAAAGGCGATTTGTGTCTGCTGGGAACCTGATGTGCTATTCGCAAGATATACAACATAGAATGAGATGTGTATCATGAGTGACCGACGCCGGAGATACCTCCGTTCAGGCACACATCGCACGAATGATGTAATTGCACGTGATAATCATAGCCTTCATCTATCGTAGAGTAGCATCAATGCGACTTTGGTACCATGCTCCCCAGCAAACACCAAGGCTTCCGGCACATAGTGTACATAGTTACAACATTCAACGCCTTCCCTCCACCGCAGAGCAGACATCAAGCACCCTTAACCCCCGCGTCCTCCTTCCCCTTCTTCATCTCCTTCCTCGTCAATTCCACCTCCAGCACCCTCCTCTTACTGACCTTGCCCTTCAAGCCATCATCCTCCCGATCGAAATACAGCGCCCACGTATCCGGCTTCTCCTTCACCGCCAAGAAGCCCTCCCAGCCTTCAAACGTCACCCTCCGGTCGATCTTGGTGCAATTCCAGGGTCCCACGACGTGGTCTCCGACTTCGATCTTGTTCCCGTATTTCACCTCGTTGGTGTCCTTGTCCACGTAGATCCAATTGAGTTGCGGGGGCCCGGGGCCGATGGTGGAGACGAGGCCTTCGCCTTGCCAGCCCCAGTTGTGTTGGGGGTGAGGGAGGTAGTAGCCTGTGAAGGGGTGGCCGGCGGGTTCTTCGAATTCCAGGTCGTCTTCGAGGGGGACGTCGAGGTCCTGGGCTATTTGGATGTAGAGCTACAGGGCGAAAGGTGAGTGGCTGTGATGTCCTTCATTGGATGCATGTGACGTGGGGCAAAGGGAGGCGCACCTTGTGGTTTTTCAGCACCACCATGCCTCCATTGATCTGCGCGCTTTGCGACGACGTCTTCACGCACGACGCAATTAGATTCGTCTTCTGTCCGCGATGCTTCTCTTTGGCATTCTTGTTCTGCCCTGAGCGGACTGCTTCCGTGGTGCCGATGATGGCGGGGCATGCTGCTATTGCTGTCAGGAGTCCTAAGACCATGATGGTTTCGTTTCACCGAACGTCACGAATGTTGCTCATGAGGGTAAACAAACATAACATGGTCTATTACTTCGAGATGATGGGAGAACATCCGGTAATGATTGGTCAGCATCGCTACCGATCATCATTGGGTCCAGAGCTGCAGAATGAAATCGTTGTCGCAATTTGCCCCCACATAATCTAATCAGGGTTTCGGAGGGGTCATCGGGAAGTGAGAACAACGCCTCAATTGCGCCTTTTCAGAAAGCTTGATTGGGTACAATGTCACGAGCATCGCATGAGTCCAAAAGCAAGATTCCAGGGGAAGAAGAAACTCTGGGAAGCTTGGAAGAGCCGAAGAGGAGGCTGGTAATTGCTATAATATCCCTCACGTCCACCTTCCACCACTGATCCCCATCCATCTACCATTTCGATCAAAGTCTCTCAATCACGCATCATCACGCCTGCTCTCAAGCATCTATCATCTTTCGCGTCAGTGTCGGTCAGTGAACTCCAGCGAGAACCATGGCTCAAAACCCCCTCCCAAGCTCCAGCCCAAGAACCAAGCTCCCACCAAACAGTAACCCTCACCCCCAATTTCCCCCCACCACCATGACGCGCAAACCCACACTAACCGGCAGCGTCTCATTCAGAGCGGACCCCGAGCCCGACATGTCCTCCGACAACGAAGACCAAGCCACCGGCGGGCGCAAGCCGCAGCCGAACCAAGAGCTGCAGAAGCAACCGCCGCAGACCCAGCAAGCCAACCGCAACCAATCCGCCCCCTCGACCCAAGACCAAGGCCTGCAGCAGCAAAACGAAGCCCTGCAGCAGCAACTCATGGCCCTGCGCCAGCAGCAGTCCCAGCAACCCGAGGTCAAGGGCGGCCGCATCGCCCCCGTCCGGCAGTCGCGCATCCTGGACCGGGCGCCGAGCGAGGGGGCGAAGAACTCGAGCCTGAAGATCCAGATCGAGTTGGACCTGGAGGTGGAGGTAGATCTCTACGCGAGGGTGAAGGGTGACATTACTATTGGGCTGATGTGAACCGTGTTCGTGTGGGGGTAGGTGGATCTCTACGCCAAGGTCAAGGGCGACATCACACTCGGGCTGCTGTGAGTCTTTCGAACATGTATGTACCTGCGGCTCACCCTTCGCCTCCGAACCCAATGGGATCAATTAGTGACGATTGGGTGTAGGACGGATTCGTGAAATACAAACTGGTGCTATGGTTTTCAATTTCCGCGCAGTGGGTTTGGTGAAAAGGTGGGAGGCAAACGGTGTTTCTGGGGAGTTTGACTACAGTCACGCAAATCGTTCAAATGTTCCGCTATGTACCCACTTGCTTTCTTCTGTCGTATATCTTTCGACCAGGGTGTCGATTGCGCTGTAACGGAGTCTTCCAGACCAATATGTTGACACCGACCTCTCCACCAATGTGAATTACGAGTAATCTCCCGGTGTTTATCCGAAAGCTTGGCATTCATTTTCTGTCGTCCGCTCTTTCTTTGTGCAACATCCTCATGCTGCCTCAGCCCCTCACATCAAATTTTGACACTCTGACAGCATTGGTGGAGTCATCGTCTCTGAGAGCCAGCATCGATGTGCATCCCTATCCCAGGGTCGTTTGGTGCGATATTCACATGGTTTCAAGGTTTCGCCTGAATATCCGCTTTGGCCTCATTGTTGCCTATTTCGGCCGTTTGCCGTCTCTTCAACCCTCCAACCAGCCAGGACTTAGTTAGCATCATGTCCTTGTGGTAAATTCATCCAGGAAGGTGACACAGCTTTCAGAATTGCACAAATATATCTCCACTTCCTCATCCTCAACACTTCGATTTTTGTCAACACTAATGTGACACAGACATTAATCGATCTCTTCCCCAGCTCCAGTCTCCCCCAGCTTTACACCAAGCCTGAACAGTACATCAGGATCCGCAGCCCGAAACGAGTAGATGAAACGCCTTTTGACAAAAGGCGATCGGGCTCGCTCTGGTCCACACCAGAGATCAACTGGCTGGGCATCCTCGTTCAAGACGATTCTCCTATCGATGAGGTCTTCTCTCCAACAACCAAGCTGTCTGGAAAGATTGTTCAATACATGGCGGGATGAGGGTTCTCTTGGTCCATCAAACATCTATTCTCTCCCGTACTGAATCCCTTCCATCACTGATCATCGATTATGCCCAATCGCTCAATTTCGATATTATCGACCTCAAGTATTGCTGTCTCCTGAAATGTCCCCGGCCCTTTGTCTGCCATGCCATTCCCAGCTGAGCATTTGGGTCAGCGACGCGAAGTGGTGCCTTTCGAGCGGAAGGCTCCACATTCTCTCTATGGGCACCAGCACCGACGTCTTCCATGGTGATATCCCCTTTTTTGGGTACGGTCCTCGTGCCTTGGATATTCGAGCTCGCTCCACGTTGTGCCTTGAAACTAGCTGTGTGTAGTACTCTATGGAGCAGGGGCTTCTCTGTTCGTCTGACTTTGGCGTGAGTTTTCGTGGGTGCTTTGGGTTGGGAGCGTTGCGCTGCTACTCGATAAAATCAACACTGATGATGAGTGTGTCAGGGATCGGAGGATGCTAACCTTTGGATTTCACTCGGCCCTCTAGGCGCTTGTTACCGTAATCCCAAATCCACGCAATCATTCGCTGCCGCGAAACCAAATCGCCGACATAAGGGCCGCGAGCAGGGAAATCTAGAATCTTGAAGGATCCAATCTTCTGATCGAATGCATACATGGCGACGATACCGTGATCGGTAGTTGGTTGTATCCGGAGGCTTCTGAAGGGGGTTCCCTAAACAGTCGTTGGCTTTTCGCCCGTGGTAAAACTAAAATCGGCTTACCTTGAAATCAACATGCCACTTCTCCAGGTTCGTGTCCCTATGTAGCAGTGGCATGCGGAATTGAAATCCTTCAAGCATATAATACACGCCTAACGCCAGGTTCTTGTCCTCAAAACTAGCTTTAGCTCTTCTTATTCCACTGCAACCCGCATCACTGTTGTCTTGCGCAATCGCATTGTACGTCTCAACATCCAGTAGTGGAAGCATGGAACCGCTCTTGACTTTGGTCAATTGACGTTCATACCCGTAGTTCCAAATCCACTTGAGCATCGCTACCCAATTTTGAGGGTAGTCCAGGATCTCGAATGGTTCCACGTGCTTTCCGGAGGCATAGATATAGATTAAGGTCGTGGAGCCAGGTTATAGACGGAGGCTACGAAAGGGGGAATCCTGCCCTGATGTTCAGAGATCAGCTGGATAGTCAGCGAGATAGTCACATACCCGAAAATAGATATGCCACTTCTCGAAGTCTATCTTGTCATGGTGGAGCCGCGCTTCAAAACTTGACGGCCATATATTAAACAAGACCGATAAGCCGTCCTTCAACTGTCGCCACTGCCCCAGCTGCTGCTTGGCGGCGGGAATTCGGTATGGGTCTGTATCGTCGTCGGGGCGCAGAAGCACGTTGAGTTTATTGTCGCCTAAAGGCCGGAGCATGGTGAAACGTGGCTGTCGTATTTTTGAGAAGAAGCGGAAGTGATGAGTTCTGGGAGAAGCTCATATATACTTTAGTAATTGTAGAGGTCGTAGCAACGGCGCGCTTGACGCGTCTGCACGTGACATTATTCAGGGAGCCAGCCAATCGACTCAAGTACCTACTCCGTTTCTTCCAGTGTCTCCTGATCCTCAAGTGAATTTCTGACGACGTGAATAAGTCTGCCCACGTCGAGTTTCCCTGCCAAAGATGCAAACCTTCGAGGTCAAAATCCATCACGCGAGCTCGAAGCAATATTTAATTTGCACTACGCTCAGAGAAAGTCATAAGCAAGAGCAATCGACGTCCAAGAGGCCGCATGTCAGAGCCAAAGCGCCAATTTTATGGTATCACGCTGCATGGGCGACTTATGCTGCGAGAATACCTGAGAATACTCATATCTACAGACTAGGTTCACCCAGTGACTGGTCAGACCTGCATTGCCAACAGAGACTTTTTTTTTGATCTGATGGCAATGCGTTCAAGTCTTCCGGTTTGAGACGCTTGACTACGCAGCTTTGTGTGTTCTCCGGAGCCTGGCTCCGTCGCGATGCTAGACGGGAGGTGGGTGATTAGCGCGTGCTATTGAAATCAATAACCGCTGTGTTCAGGGTCGCCGTCGGAAACGTACCGGCCATATCTCACGTTTTGGTCCATCAATGCCCGTTGTCAGCGTTGTCGAATATCAGCTTCGAGGTAGTTCTGGAGCATTGTTTGGCCCTCTACTTCTGAACACCATGAGCTTAACATGCCTCTCACAGCTAAGTCTATTAGCCGCATGATTCAAGATGACAGTACATCTGGACAGATGACCACTCGCCAACGCTGAAATCAACTAATAGACGATGTCATCACCCCTCACCCCCAAGCTCCTTAACCCTCACCGTCTTCACTGTCATAACTTCTTCGCTATGCCGCGATTCCCACAGTCCATCCTCAAGACCCCTACGTCCAGCCCTCTGACTATATCTTCTAAAATCAGCCGCCGGCGGTAGCGTCGGCAAAGTATTCTCGGGCATGACGAGGTACTCCGCTGCCCTTCTTGCCAAAATTGGGCTTTGTACCTTCGGACTCTGCTCGAAGCCATAGATCTCATCCGCAGTCTGTGAGAATTGGGACGAGTGCCACAGTGCCGTGCTTGATCCGCCGAAGAGTCTACGTCCAACAGCTTGGACTAGTGGGCGGAGAACGGGTAGACAGGCACAGATGATGCCGACACTAATCTCGACATTGGACCATATGATGGGGTCCACCGTGCTCCCTGTTATAGGTTAGCTCTGAAATTTGATTATTCGCTGGTTACGGGGTTTGGATAGCGCGCAGTGTGAGACAAGAGATGGCATTGCTTACATGTGATATCAGTAATGTCCACGTTAGCTACAGTGTACGCTCTCGCGATACTGGCGCCGCATATGCTAGATTCATGTTGAGCGACAGTCCGGCATTAATTTTAGCGTCCTACTTACAAGGCTCCCAGCAAGAAAATACCACTCAACGACGCCTTTGACTTCCTCGACATCTGAAGCGTCCAAACGATAGAAAGCGGCAACGCCAAGATCCAGAAGTCCAGGATAACGTTGATCACCGAAGTGGCAATCAGATAGGCATTGAGATTGTTACAATGCTCCATCATCTCTATTGCATCGATGGACCATGCAATGTGTATCGGCTTGCATTGAAAGACTGCCGGCAAAATGGTCGCCATGCACCAGCTAAGAACAATGGCTTCGGTGATGTATATTACGTGTCTGAACCATTTGCGAGCTCCGAACAAGCGGAGGTAGAAGAGTAGGATGGAGATTTTGATGGCAGTGATGGTAATGGGGTAGTGAATTTCGCTGACATAGACGTCCTTCTCGATCGTCAGCTCTAGGTCTCTGTTGTTCAATGGGTCAAATTGCCCTGAACTGCTCCGACACCTGATAAGGTGTCACTGTCTGGACGTGCCGTCCCATGCCATTGTGGATATCTTCAAGCGGGTCAGATCCCGGAACGTCTACCAGGTGGAAAGTGGGTCTTGCCAATGAAGACTATTGCAGATGACCCAAAAGATAGCACCTGCAGTAATTTAGACCCGTGGAGACGGTGTCTTGAGGTGACCTACCAGGCTGATCACAATGAAAGCATCGCTGGATTACCGTCAGTATTGTCTATTTGAGGGGCGATATCGAGCCTTAATAAACATGTTTCGAGAGTACAAACTCTCAAGACATGTCCAAGACTCAAGATTTGGAATAAAGGGGGAAATATGGACTCCGGAGATACGTACTCCCACCAGAAATTCGCTGCTGAAATACGCCGGGATAACAGACGCAGGCCGACGGTGAAGGAAGACAAAACAATGAAGATCACGCTGAATGCAACGATTGATGGAGCGCGGTTTTCATTTACGTCAGTCATGCCGATCACGCCTTGTCCTACTCTTGCAAGAAATACCAGGATGTTTTCTGATCATTGAAAAGAGACGGCTGAAGCAGGTATTGTTGAGAGAAAGAACGTACGGATCTTGCGAGGTCAACGTCTGTTTTACCACGCACACCAACTCGAGCAACAATGAGAAAGCAGCAGACGTGCATGAAAACAACCTTGCAGGAACACTAAGATACTGTCCAAGCCATATTGCGAAGTGCTTGGTCCAACATTGCCAACATTTAGGCTTGCTGGCAGAGTGGGGCATTATGCAAGGCTGGGACGGCGAGCCGTGAGATGAATTCGGTTTGCGGCGGCGCAGCGCCCAAAAAGCAAGGCAGAGAGTGGGAAGTGAAGAAGACGGTGTAGGCACTGGATATGGATTCATTGCCTACACTATACCCTCTGATCTCCCCATTTTGTGGTATTACCTGTGCGAGTAGCTGGGCCCAACGGTTCACACTCAGATTCGGACTCAGGCAGATACCTTACTGGCCCTGGAACTAGCCCTCGTAGGGTGGTGCTATTGCCACTCCACTACGGGAGCTGCCGGGCAAAGAGTCATCTCTAATTGAAGAAAATAAAAAGCACCCAGCCGCAACACCTTATTATGTACCAGCGCCATTAGGAATCGAACCTAATACGAACTAAATACCCCCAACAACACGACCACAACCAACGGGTGCCCCCCCCCAAACCACCCAAAAACCCCCCCCCCCCAAAAAAAAAAAAAAAAAAAAATCTCCCCCCCCCCAAAAAAAATCCTTTTTTTTATTATTAAAAAAAAACACCAATAAAAAAAAAAAAAAACATAAAAAACAACCCCCCCCCCCCCTAAAAAAAAAAAAAAAAAAAAAAAAAAAAAAAAAAAAAAAAAAAAAAAAAAAAAAAAAAAAAAAAAAAAATAAAAAAAAAAAAAAAAAAAAAAAAAAAAAACAAAAAAAAAAAAAATAAAAAAAAAAAAAAAAAAAAAAAAAAAATAAAAAAAAAAAAAAAAAAAAAAAAAAAAAAAAAAAAAAAAAAAAAAAAAAAAAAAAAAAAAAAAAAAAAAAAAAAAAAAAAAAAAAAAAAAAAAAAAAAAAAAAAAAAAAAAAAAAAAAAAAAAAAAAAAAAAAAAAAAAAAAAAAAAAAAAAAAAAAAAAAAAAAAAAAAAAAAAAAAAAAAAAAAAAAAAAAAAAAAAAAAAAAAAAAAAAAAAAAAAAAAAAAAAAAAAAAAAAAAAAAAATAGAATTATATTTATAACTTTAATTATTTGTTAAGGAATCATTATGATTTGACTCATATATGTGTGTGGTGTAAAAGATGTTGATTAATCTATGTGGTCTGCAGGCAGATATGTGCGGTGCCAAGCCTACGCTAGTGGCCCTATGAGTATGCCTCAGGCATCTCATGACAATTGCCCACAAAAAACAGAGAAATGCCATGTCCTCATGGCAAGAAGTACGCATGCATGAATGAGTGAGTTTTCGAAATGCTGGAAAGGAATGGAGAGACCAGGCCAATTAGTGGTGTGAATCCCACGAGTTCTCCTGCCGCAGTGAAACCCCTCGAATAGTACCGGAGCAAGACATCAGACGGTTTCAATTGTCCAAATATGCATCGTCCGATGTTCCTCTGCAGAGACCCAATTGGCCATAGTGATTTGGCTGTGACCGCCGCAGTAGGTCCTTCTCTTGTATCGTCATTGCAGTGATGTACCACAATGTGATATTGCCCAGGCATGCAGAGATAGCAGGCCAAATTGTAGTGTCGTTCTCCTGCTGAGTGGTGGTTTGACGTGGGAGCGTGGATAGCATATGACGTGGGATCTTGGAGAGCTGAGCCGTGTTCTTGGTGATGGTGGCCTTGTTGTCGCTTGCTTTCTCCGCAGTGCTCTCCGCAGTGCTCTCCGCAGTGTTCTCCGCAATTGCCTGTAGTGGTTCCTCCTCTTGTAAAGTACCAGACTGAGTGACTGAGTGAGTGGCTGGCTGATCGACTTGTAGAGACCTTCTCGTATATTGCTGGCGAGTCTTCTGATTCCGATGCTTCTTTTTCTGCTGTGTTGCACGTACAAATGGACACTCCGGGGATCGAGTAGCGTGGAAATCGAATGGACTACCGTCACTATACCAGTCACAAGGATCAAGACCGCATAGTGAGCACACAGTGAGATCCGGAGATGGAAAAGTAGGGTCGTATTCTCGACGAAAGCCAGCACGGGCTACGGTAGAGGCACTTGGACACACGTGCGGCCATGACGTGAATGAGGCGAGTCTCTCAGCGTATGAATTCATAATATCGATATCGATAGGCCTATCAAAAGGATCGATGTGGGCGTGGGTTTTGTCAAAAGGTACTCGATGACGCGAGTGTATTGGAGGTCCGGCTTGGAGCGTCACACTATTAGGTGTTGATGTGGGCTTTGCGTAAACGTCTGATATGACGCCTGGATGTCCTATGAAGTAGGGCCAGGTGTTGCTACCAATTGTTAAGGAATCATTATGGTTTGACTCATATATGTGTGTGGTGTAAAAGATGTTGATTAATCTATGTGGTCTGCAGGCAGATATGTGCGGTGCCAAGCCTACGCTAGTGGCCCTATGAGTATGCCTCAGGCATCTCATGACATTATTATAGAGAAAATAGCTTAGAGCTACTATATTCTTCTTCGGAAGTATATATATTATTTAAATCTTACTTAAGAGAATCTTATAATTATTAAAATAAGTCGATAGAAGTAGTCGATATAATATAAGAAACTTCTTTTATTTATTAGCGAGATTTAAAAGAATTAAGATCTTTTTAGAATCTCGAGTTTTTATATAGCGATTAATAAATATATAATTAAGAAGATAAAGTGTATATCTTATTCTATTATAGCTCTAGATTAGTTAATTAAAGAGAAATATAAGCTCTTTATAATTAGTAATAAGAGCTATATCTATAATTACGTATAATATTTTCCGATATAAAAATTAGAAAATAGGCTAGAAACTAAAGAACTTAAAGAAATATTAGCTATAATATTTAAATTAGCTACGAATACCCTTCTAAAGAATATTATTCTCTTTATAAATAACTATTTTACTTATCTAAAGCTGGTTATAGCTCTAAGAGATAGAAGAATTATAATATATAAAACTATAAAGTCTACTTAACGAGATCTTTTAAAATTACTTATAAAGATAAAATAGATATTTACTAAGAATATTTCTTACGAAGTTCTTACTATAATAGTTTAAGATAATATTCTTATAATAGTCTAGTAAGATAATAATCTTATTTTAGAACTTACTACTAGATATAGTATTCGAGAGATTAATAACTATATCTTTAAAAAAGGAAATATTCTAGTAAAATTAATATAAATACTGTATTACTTTATCTGCTTTTAAGAAGAATAAGAAGAATATCTAGAAGAAGGAATTTAAGATTTTTAAGCTTTTTTACTATTATAATAAGTATATAGAGGAGATAAATCGATTTAATACATTAGTAACTATATATATTTCTTAGCGAGTCTATAATTGTAATTGAATACCCTTATTCTACTAATATTTAAATAGAGTCTTATAAATACTTTTAAGCTCTATAAATTAATAGGGTTATTTAAGAGTATTAGAAATTTCTTAAAAGTGTAATAGTAGAGTTGTTGAAAGAAGGAGATATCTGTCAGGACCAGCATAGATGCGATATTAGTATGGGTGAGGTAGAACTAGGATAATAAGGCTATCGAACTATGTATGTGGGAAGGAGGCATGATATGGTAGGGGATGCCTCCGCCAAGGCCCGCTAGCCATAGGGCTGAGTGGTATATCAAGGGTACGCTCGTAATACTACCCCCTCTCAAATAGCCATAGCCCTCATGGCTAGTAGACCGGAGATGCAGGCCCATTACTTACCTTATATCTTCAAACATCCATAGTCGATATAGGCCTTGGCTGGAGATGGTTGAGATCCCGGAGATATAGCCACATCTTGTATCGGCAAGATTCTCCAAGTTTTTTTTTTTTTTTGTCTAGCCTGCCTGCCGTAGGCCTTCGAAAGAAGTAAATAATTTTATCGCATACATATATTTTATGCTCGCTGAAAATCCATAAAAATAAAGAACTTTTAATATTAGTATATTAGATTAAATTAATATCTTTCTTCGGCGACAACGATAAATAACAATATCGCGTCCCGGAGATTTCGCTAGCGCGTCGTCTTACACTTTATTATAGCGTTAAGAAGCTTTTAATTTAACTAGAATTCATAAAGAATTAAATAGATAATAATCAAAAAATGATTTACTATACGATAGTCATCTAATTTCATATTTATAATAAAGAAGAAATCAATAAAATAATATAATTTAATTAATTAAGGCCTTTCGAACCGAATCGAGCCGTAAACGCTAAAACTCTAATTTAATATCAAGTGAGTTTCTTTATAAGGAATATTATATAATCGATATCAATAAAGGCTATCGACGACGATAGTAAGGTCTATAGATAACGTACTATAGCTTTAAAAGCCTTTTAGATATATAATAATAAGAGAAGTCTACTTAATAGGTTTAATATAAGACTATTAATAAGTAATATAGGTCTAGGAAATCGATTTCCCGATATAAAAAAAAGGAGGTTATTCTAAAATATCGAATAATTTTAATTCGTTTAAAAATACGATATTCGAAGTATTATTAGGTCGCTTATAGAAAGCCCTAGTAACTAAGCTCGTATACTTCGTCGAAATTTATACCGAGTTCGAAGTATTTATTATACTTTTATATATAAGCCTAATTTTTATTCGTAAGGTTCTCTATCTTAGTAAGACTTAAATTCTCTATATTAAAAGTAAAGCGAGTTATAATTAAGTATTTACTCTTCTTTACGTTAGCCTCGACCTTTACTTTTATATATTACTTCGCGAATCTTTAAGTCTTCTTTTCGCGAATTTCTTAGTAGATTATTAATATTAAAGCTATATTCTTATAATATATTTCTTTAATTTAGATATAGTTTAATTTCTTATTAATAGATTAATTAAGTTATATAAACGAAGTTTCGATTTCCTTCATATATCGATTATTAGACTATTATTTTTTCTTAAAATTATATTTAATATATTTAATAAGATCATCGTAGAATTTAAGAAATAATTAGCTTTCTTATCTTATTTTATTATAAGTATATTAATAGATTATCTTAAGAATAAATAAGAGTATCTTATATACGTTACTTAAATAATTTAGAAGATTATCGACTATAGAGTATAAGCGATATCGTTATCTAATAGATATATACTAATTAGCTTTCTCTTTAAGTCTCGCTATAACGTAAATAATTTTAAAAGTATCAATAGAGAAAATAATTATTATTATAGATAAGCTTATCTTAGATTCTTATTTTTCAATTATTAAATAATATTAAATTAGTATCTATAAAGATAGATAGATCTAATAGCCTTAGACTAAGTGGCTATCTAATTTAGCGATTATCGATTTACTCTAAATATCTTAAAATCTTATAAAGTAAGTAATAGTAGGGGATAAAGCGGAGGCGGAGTAGAGATGTTAGGCGAGTTTTAGATCTATATCTCTCCTTACTATTCTAATATCTTCTTGAAGAAGAAAAGACTAAAATATTAAGCGGATTTTAGTCTTATATCTCCTTTAGATAACTTAATATCTTATAATATCGCTAATAAAGGTTCTTAGTAGATAGAGAGCGCTATATACGTAGTATATAGAGTTATAACGAATTTAAGAGATAAGTATCTTCTATATAAATCGTTATATATAAGATAAAGCTAATTATAATATATAGATAATCGACGATATAAAGAGACGTATTTTAATATTAATATAGATGAATTTAAGTAAGAATTTAAGAAACTTATAATATATTAAATATAGATAAGAACGAAGTAGAGAGATCTCTAGAATTTCGATATTATAAAGGTAATAATAAGTCGAGAAATATAATAGATCTCTATATTAAGAGTATAATATCTAAAATAATATTATTTCTTTATAAGAGTCTATAACACTTATTTCTTAACTAATTAAATCGTCATAAAGATTATAAATACTTCGAGTATAACTCTTTTTTAGTAATATTACTTCGCTTAGAGGGTAGTTTAAAATTTAAGTAAGTTATAGCGATTTTAATATTTATAATACGAAGCGAAGAAGGATATCTTATTCTTAATATAGAGAACTCGTTTTTTTAATAAATTAGACTATCGTTAATAATGTAAGTTATCTAATATAGATTCTTTCGAATAATATAGATTAGTTTATAATTTATATATATAATAAGGCTTCTATATAATAGAAATACCTAGCGTTTTCTTTATTAAGCTCGATCGCTTACTTCAAGTAGAAAGTAAAAAAAACTTGTTAATTCTCTTCGTCGAGAGGTATACGAAGAAGTCTTATTATAATATTAGGACTAGTATAGATACGATATTAGTATAGGTGAGATAGAATTAGAATAATAAGGCTATCGAATTATATATGTAGGAAGGAGGTATAATATAATAGGAGATGCCTTCGCTAAGGCCCGCTAGCTATAGGGCTGAGTGGTATGTCAAGGGTACGCTCGTAATAATATCTATCGAGTAAGGCTAAATTCTATCTCTATCTCTATACTATTAAAGATATTACGAGATAATTATAATTAGTAAGACTTAAAGGCTATTCGGGCGTGTCTTATATATTATAAGAATATTTAAAATTAAGATTTTAGACGAGAGATTAGTAAGAATAGAAGTAATACTTTTAAAAAACGGGGGGGAAAAAAAAATTTAAATTTTTTTTTTTTTATAAAAAAAAATAAAAAAAAATTTTTTTAAAAAAAAAAAATATAATTAATTTTTTAAAAAATAAAAAAAAAATTTTTTTATTAAATATATAAATATTGGGGGGTAATAAAAAAAAAAATGGGAAAAAAAAAAATTTTTTTTTTTCTTTTTTTAAAAAAAAAAAAAAAAAAAAATTCACAAATCAATGCGTCATTACACATAGGATTCGAACCTAAGCCCTCGCCAATATCGTTCGATAGAACTTTAAAACCTATGGCTAATGGCGCTGCCAGAATATAAAAAGCACCGCAACACCTTATTGTACCAGCGCCATTAGGAATCGAACCTAATACGAACTAATAAATACCCCCAACAACAATTGAACCCATGTCCAGTGCCGACCAGGCTACGACGGCTTGGAGGCGGAGATCCGGGATAAGTCCTGAACCACGCCGCTTCACACGGTGCTACCCGTCGTTGCTTCCAACAACAAGATGAAACTGCGTTTCTGAAGGATGCACACCCTTCACAATCGTATTGTCGAAGCATATGAATTTTCAACCAGGTCAGCGCATAAGTCTTTGCTGAGCCCACCCATTGACCACGATGACCCTCCCCCAACACTTTCCACGAGATAGCCATAGGAATATTAGACAACCCACTGTAGAGGACAACATCATCCGGATCTCTAGTGGAAGATTCCACGACGACGGTTCCTTAGACAAGCAGAAAATGATTGGGAATCGGTCCATCCCGAACGAAGCTCACGTGTGCGTCGGCTCTGGTCTCGCATTGGAGGAAAACGCACTCGATGTCGGTCTTACGCAGGAAATCCTCAACCAGATGAGGTTCATTCCCCTGGGAATTCATTCCGGTATTTGAGATGGGGGAAACGCTTCGAGAGGGTACAAGTCCCCAGGTGCTGATTTGCTGTAAGGCTGGAAGAAAGTATAGTGTGAGCAGCATCGTGGTCTTGGAATGGGGAGCGAGAATGACTGAATCTGCGTTAGTAGAGTTCGTCATTCCGCAAGACGCATATGGAATCAAAGGGGTTTCCGCGTGCGTGGGCAGAGAAGCCATTGGGTACGTACTACTGCCGCAGCGACAAGTTTCGCCCCTCCCTTCCCAAACACTCAGACTCCCATGATGACAAGAGTTCCGACACGTTTTACTTGCCGGGTCGTCACTTAAGTTCTAAGCCCTGAAAATGTAGCAAGCCGGCGCTTTGCCGCCGTATGGACAAGACAGGAGGAAACGTGACAGCTTGACTTGAATCATCCCCCAATCTGTAGATTTAGTATTCAGATCCTATGAGTCGAGAGTACCTACTTCAAAGGTTACTTCGCGTCTGGGCATTCGACACTGTGCGAGCTTAAAAGAGCCGTCATATTTGTTGGTGTTCTCAACAAAATCAGGGCCCCTTTACTTCATGCATGGCCCCATCTCGAGAGGTCAAAGATCAGCTCTGTCGAACCTGTACTTGCGGACGCATCGTTCCACAGAGGCCTCTGACCAGTAGGAACCTCCCATGTTCGCGGCAGTCGTAGCCACCGAGGCAGCGTGAGTCCACACTTTTACTGACAGAATGAAAGATATACCAAACCATGGTGTCAGGAGGCCCTTACCTTAACAAGAGCTTCGTACGACTGAATTTTAATGTTGATGAGAGATGTGCTAAGAGCTATGCATCTGCTCCATCCGTGTTTTGTAAAGGGCAATGCTTAATCTAGGTCATCTGCCTCTGGCTCGAAGTCCTTCTCACCTTCATGTCTCGCCCCTTGCGATTCCTGACTCGTAACCTTCGTATCTTCACCTCCTTTCTTTAGTTCTGCTTCTTCCTTCTCCACATCCTCTTTGTGCAACAAGGAGAAGACTACCACAAAGAGCACTTCGTCCGTGTCTTTGATTTTGAGGACATACCTGACACGGTTGAGCAATGTGAAATACACCAGGGGGGTGCAGGGACTGGTAGAGTAATGAGAACCTACCGCAGATAGTCAGTTCCCCCTAGATACGGCAACACCGACAACGAAAAGCCTGGAAGCTTGAGGGAAAAGCCTGCCCATAGAACATTAGCAAAATTTCGTCGTCCACCCTCTTCTCCTCTACATCCATCCAAAATTCTCCACTCGAGCAAGAAGAGTCCAACGCACTGTTGAAATCCAGATATGGATTGAAAAAATCACACTCGTAGACCCTCCCCTCCTCCCACTCCCACTCCTCCGTCTTTCCCTTCGTGAGGAAGTGCTTCTTCCTCGCGTCGCCTGTCTCCGGCACATCCTTGCTCTTCCTCCACTCTTCGCCCTCTCCGTCTCCCCCCTCCTCCAACGCCTTCTCTTCGCCTACAGGCTCCGGCAGATCTTTGCCATCTTTGACCTTCTCCCCCACACGTAGTATGTTCACGCTACTGAGTGCATTGCCGTAGAGATGCGGAGTATCGCTGTACAGATCCCCATCCAACCCTGGATCGATCGCCCATTTCACTATCCGTAACGCGGTACTGGTTCCCGGAGGCAGCCGGTCACGGATTGGTCGGTCGAAACTGTTGCCGAAGACGAGGGCAGAGCCGGGAAATGACTTGTGTGGGAGGAGTGTGAAGGCAATACTATATTGATCATGAAGGTGAAGTGCGTGAGAGAAGTACGCAGATGTAGTAGGAGACTTGCGTGGTAAGCCTCGATAGTTTTGGATCCGGACAGAGATTTTGGCGTCACAGATGGCGGTGGATATGTGGGTTGGGGTGGGCTTGTTGACCTGTACGGTTTGGTGGGTGGTGGTGTCGTAGGAGGAACCGGCGGTCACGCGGAGGAGATACTTGTCTGCCATGTCCGAAGCAAAGTGGGTGAACAAGAATTGGACAACTACGTGGCTGTCATGGTTACAATAGCTATGGCCTTAATAACCAACAGAGGATTGTGAGCATGACTTCGAGAAGTCGATCGATTAAGCATTCTGACGGAATGTGGCCAAAGTCTCCAACTTTAGTATTCATTAGATCTACAAATGAAACAGAGCCTCTAGGCTCTACGAATGGTGAGAAATTGCAGGCTTCATGCAAAATCTTTGGGTATCGAACAATTTAGATTTCAATTCAATGCACTCCACCATGGTGACTTTGCCGCCAAACTCCAACACCGCCGAAGCGAACAGCCCGAGTGAGACTTATAAAAGGCTGGATGCATAGCCAATGTCCCGGTCTTACGATACTCCACGCTCCTGTTTCAGATACGAAAGTGGGTCCTCGTCCACAATTGTACTGACACAGCCAAGCTTCACTTGCAGTGACAAGAACCCAATCCCACTTTCGCACCCATCATCGCCTTCTCTCGAAGTAGCCGCTCGATCCTAGTATTGCCACGCTCTGGTCCATCACCCACTCTCCCACACCTAGGTATTTATCGACCCATTTTTTCAGCTCCTTGCTCTCAGAGATCTTGTCTGATTCGAATCTGGGGCTAAGTTTCCCACATTAGGGATATCGTTAGCCTTATCAGTATTTTCGGTGGAAGATGATGTTGGGAGGACGGACTCGGTTTCGGAAAAAGACTTGGGCTGGGGTTGTGCATACGTGAGGCCTGTTGAGCGTTTGACGCCTGCCAGAAAGGCAGAGACTGTAGGTAATTTTAGCCTGGGGATCCTCTGGCTGAGAGCATACACTCGTACTTAGTACTGCATCAAATGCATAGTGTGTCAGACGGCCTAACTGTTTATAGTATCAACAGATGCCCGGTTGGTTGGTACGGGTGCCTTACCACCATGACGAGCGTGCGATGGCGCGGAGCCTACCCAATTGGAGGACGGAAGGGTTGTCGATCTGCCGCAGTACGAATCTGGGACAAGTATATTTGTTCGTGTGTAAGGTCCAGAGTTGGGCTCAGAGCAATTGGATATTTGTTAGGAGAGCCTGGTTAGTGGTCGTTGAATGTTGATTGTTTCCAGGCACTAGATGACGCTAAGCCCTATCCGCCTCGGCGACACAAATTTGTGCCGTAATTTGGTTATCGATAAGCTTGGAGACGGTGGAGCAGCGGGGCTTCCCAGAAGGGTTGATTCTCTCCATTTCCTTTTGCTCCCTCTCTAATCTGCTCCATCGTAGACCGACTTCTTACAACTCGTGCGAAACCTCCCACTTCTCTACAACTACCTCCTTACATTATTCCGGCCCCGAGTTTTCACTTTCTCTCACAGCTCTGAACAAAACTTCTCACCGGTCCCTTGAGAGCTTTGAACAGCTACCTGCAACATGGCCGACTCCCTCGATCACCTATCCTCTGGAAGCACTCAGATTGAATGGCTCTCCAGCTTAAATACCGAGTTCAAGCCCAAGACCAACTATCGCCGTACATCCATTATCTGCACAATTGGTATGCTGAGTTACATGTCCGAGCTGAGCTGGGGTTTGAATGAGCCTCGCTGACCTGCGCATTCAGGCCCAAAGACCAATTCCGTGGAGAAAATCAACATCCTACGTAAAGCTGGGCTCAACGTCGTACGCATGAACTTCTCCCACGGAGCGTACGAGTACCACCAATCGGTCATTGACCATTCGAGAGAAGCCGAGCGCCAAATGCCGGGCCGGCCTTTAGCCATTGCGCTCGATACAGTACGAGACGCTGCCCTTATCTAAGCAAGCTCGCCGGCGGTGCTGATATGTATAACAGAAAGGTCCCGAGATCCGCACGGGTAACACGGTTGGAGATGCAGACATTCCAATTTCTGAGGGTCATGAGATCAACATAACCACCGACGAGAAGTACGCTACTGCTTGCGATGAAAAGAACATGTAAGCTGAGTGGATAATCCAATTGCCGACGATTTGAGCTAACCCCGAAATAGGTACGTGGACTATAAGAACATTACCAAGGTCATTGAAGCCGGCCGAACTATCTATGTGGATGACGGAATCCTTGCGTTTGAGGTTCTGAAGGTCGTTGATGAGAAGACTCTCCGCTGTCGATGCATCAACAATGGGAGAATATCGTCCAAGAAAGGTGTCAACCTGCCCAAGACCGACGTTGATCTCCCAGCCCTTTCAGAGAAAGACCAGAACGATCTACGATTTGGCGTCAAGAACAACGTGGACATGGTTTTTGCTTCATTTATTCGCCGCGGTGAGGACATCAAGGACATTCGAAGAGTCCTCGGCGAAGACGGAAAGGACATCCAGATTATCGCAAAGATTGAGAACCAGCAAGGTGTGAACAATTTCGATGAGATTCTCAAGGAGACCGACGGTGTTATGGTTGCTCGTGGCGATCTCGGTATCGAGATTGCCCCTGCTCAGGTCTTCATCGCGCAGAAAATGATGATTGCGAAGTGCAACCGCGCTGGAAAGCCCGTCATCTGCGCAACCCAGATGCTTGAGTCAATGACTAACAACCCTCGCCCTACTCGTGCTGAAGTCAGCGATGTTGGCAACGCCGTTCTCGATGGAGCGGACTGCGTCATGCTGTCTGGTGAGACTGCCAAAGGTAACTACCCTAAAGAATCTGTGGCGATGATGCATGACACCTGCTCCTTGGCCGAAGTTGCCATACCTTACGTCAGCTTGTTCAACGATATGCGTGCAACGACCAAGAAGCCCGTCAGCTTGTTAGAGTCGGCTGCCATGTCCGCTGTGAGCACCAGCTTGGAGATGAACGCTGGCGCCATTCTTGTCCTGACTACGAGGTATGACTCCCAGCAGATGCTGCTCCAATCAAGCTAATCCTCGCATAGTGGCAATTCTGCCCGGATGATCTCCAAATATCGTCCTGTATGCCCAATCATCATGGTCACTCGCAATGCTACTGCCTCTCGCGTATGTAAATCGACTCCTCTAATCAAATTCCTCGCTAATCAAAAACAGTACTCACATTTGTATCGCGGCGTATACCCATTTATGTTCCCAAGGCAGAAACCAGACTTTAAGGAGGCTGATTGGCAGGAAGATGTCGACGGCAGACTCAAGTGGGGGGATTAAGCAAGCCATTGGTCTAAGCATCCTGAGTGAAGGAGACATGGTCGTCTGTGTTCAAGGCTGGCGCGGAGGAAAGGGACACACCAACACCATCCGTATTGTCCCCGCAAAGGAGGACTTGGGTCTTACCGATTTTTGAAGCCCAATCCAAGATTGAAGATGCTGCTTCATTGCTACGAACTTGGAAACCAAGAAAAGGATCATGACTCTACGATGATCTTCTTCGTTTACTTTTCCCAACATGAAGAGATCTCCATGTGTGTACTCTAACAGACTTTGTAGCGCAGCTTGCAGATGCTATTGCCATCAGACCGCTACGTTAAATCGGCTATGATGAACAAGGCTGCTCTTCCCCTTCACAGTAGATGTCCTAGGTATTCGTCATCTGTCCGCCACTCGGCCCGGGGGAAAGTTCCCTCGGCGGTCCTTGCTCCCAAAGCAAACGTGCAGTGGTAAAACGGGTGTTCGGGCTATGTAACGCAGATACAGCATTTCGTTCGACTGATCTACAGCGTTACGATTGTGGTCGGCGTGCATCGCCCTGGAATGGGCTCCCTGCAGCTGTAGAAGGCTGGCTTACTGACTGCAGGCTGCCATCTACAATTTTTTTTTTTTGTGTTTCTTGCTGACATTTCTCCTCGAGGTCGAATCTGCTGCATTTCTGCAACGATTACGAACCCCGGTCTGTTGTTCCGGCGCCGTCTTTTCGGTTTTATATTCCATGCGTTGCTATATGCTCGACAATTATCCTTGTTCTCTTTTCAAGAAGCCTCAATGATGGAAAGAGAGCCGGAGCTGAGGTAGAAGGATCGCGGTTGTTGAAAGACCTCTCCGTTCTAACGGCAACGTAGGCAAGTGCTCTGCGGATGGCAGATATTCGTTCGTTCACCCATTCTACGATACGGTCTGTCTCGTACATGGCTACAGATGATTGTTCTCAGTACGGTGATAGGTGTGACTTTATTCCAAAAGGATGGCGAGGCTCTCAAGGTTGCTGGTCCGTCGGGTACCTTACTGGCTTTTGCCATTGCTGGTGTGGCCGCGATATCCGCCGTGGAAGGAGTTAGCGAGATGATACAGATGTTCCCCGCGCCGAATGCTGCAATGGAACTCGTACGGGCTTTCGTGGATCCAGATTTGGCATGGGTGGATGAGCGCTCCATGCCTGTCAAGCAAGCGTGGCCTCGAGCTTGCGCTATGCAAGTGGTGCGGATATTAGGCACGATTAAGATGCCGAAGAAGAAGCTATAAAGAGAACGAGAGTCCTCGTCCCATCCTGACCCCAAGTTTCGTGGTGACCTGAACGGCCGAAACAAAGCCGATACCTGCAAATTAAAGCATACAATCTAGCAGAAAATATGAATGATACCATTTGGAACGAGGGGCAGGCTTGGAATCTATACTTGCCTGATTTTTGTGCTCCTAAGATTGGTGCTTCTTGCTCGCCGCTTTCTTTTCCTTTGCTTCTTGTATGTCCCTCTTCGCCTTCAACAACTCCTCCTCCGTTGGCATGTTCACCACCATCAGATAAAGCACATTCTCCTGCAGCAGACGCTTGCTTGACTGTTCTCTGATACCTTGTGCGCGTTTCTCCGCCGCTTGGCGTTGCGCGCGCTCATATCGACGGCGTGCACCCAATCTAAGTTGTCGTTAGCCGAGAACAGGTATGAAGAGAGTGATAATGAGAGTAAAATTCGGGGAGGTGGGCTTACGGCTCGGCTTTGAACTTGCCGCCTGTAACCAGTGTGAAGAAGTGCGTTTTGGTTGCATGATTGGGGTCTGCAAAGCGCGATCTTAAATTTGGTGGGGCTGCTTGAGCGGTCAAGGTGGACTCTGGATGCTGATAGGCTTGTGACCATTTCGTCAGATATATCCCAAGTTGATAAAAAATAGAGGGAGAAGATGTGCGGGAAAAGTGGGTTGGCAAGAACATACGTAAGCTGCCTGCGCTCGGCGATCATAGTAGTCGTTGACGAATTTGGACGCGCTTTTTGACTAAGCCTTGATGCTACTGCCTATATCATCGCTATTGCGTTCTTCTTTCGCAGCAGGGGAAGCAAGTCCAGCGGCGTCAAGGGCAGGAAAGATGAGCCGTGCGCAAGTGACAGGCATCTGTGCCTCGCCGTGAGTCTCGCCACTGGCAAGGCGGAGCTGCTTCATCTTCTCCTTGACGTCCTCCAGCATTCTTGGCTTCTCTGAACTTCCTGGTTCAGCCACCAGTGCATCTGGCTGAGCGTCTCCGCCATACTTCGCAATTGGGGCGCCCATATCTACCCGCTCTATGCCAACCTCTGGCTGCTCGCTACCACCAGTCTTGTAAATGACAATCATGGCGTAAAACCCTGCGCACGTTTCGGAGTCAGCGTTGCTTTTCAAAGACAAACTTCAGGCTCGCAAGACAGGTTTCGGGAGTAGAAAGAGCCTTCTGCTCTGAAAATATGTTTTGCAACTCGGGATGCGGTGAAAAGGAAAGAGTTACTCCGAAATGTACGAACCTTAAGGTACCAAAAAGTCCATGTTCGCCAGTGTCATAAACATGTTGATGCGGTACCATTCAGCTTGACATTACGCCGAGACCCAAGCAGCAGCAGTGAAGAGAGGTACAGTGGCGAGAGTGGCCGCATCCTCCAACCCTCTTCTAACACGAGGTAGAGCCAAACCCCTGGATCCGTTTCGATAATTCCTCGCCTTTGATCCTCTCTTCTGTTGCATCCTGTGCGTATCGATTCTGATCCTTTGCTCCCTCAGAAACAACATGCGCATCTGTACCACCCTTCACGCGGAAGATCTCGAAATAGTCGATCTTGACAGCTACCTCCCAGTTGCTATCAGCTGTTATGTCATTATTGTTACCAGTCATGTACACCGGCTTATACCCGACAACCTTGCCGCTGTCGGTATCTGTGATGTTGCTCGTCAGCGTCGCTGACTTCGTCTCTGGATCAATGCACAAGCCAGCGCCTCTTCTTTCAGGGTCTCCGATCTTGTAGGCTTTCGCGTACTCTAAAGGTGGTTCGTCTCTTGCTGCAACAGCTCCTAGCAATGGTGCGTCGTCTTCTGTGTTTATGATGTTTGTGAGGGGCAAGTGAGGCCCCTTCCATCGGAGAAGTCGGAATTTTGGCTGTAGCTGGAAGAGGAAATGCGGAGTGCTGGGTTCGAGTTCACGCTTCTCCGCTTCCGCGTTGGAGAGCGGCCTAGGAAAGTATGCTCCCATTACTGTGAGTGGTGTCGTTGCTGTTGCGTTGCTGCTAAGCAGTATGAGATGGGGATGTGGGTCTTGGGCGAGAGACTGGACGAGACGTGTTACTGTTGGGTCATATGATCTCTGCGACGGGGTGTTAGAGTTCTCCAGAGAGATTCGCATGTCCTGTGTTGTTGGCTGGAAGCGGCTGGAGATCTTGGGTTGAGGTATGAATAGTGAAATAGCTGCGAGTATATGGTTGGGTATAGCTTCGGGGATCTGGGATGGCGCTTTATCATCTGCGGTCATGGGTGGTTGAAAAAGAACGGCCCAAAGCTGGTGGAATCGTAGCTGCAAACTTGGCTGTGAAAGATTAGACGTGCCGAACACTGAGATAGGCACCACCACCAGGGGGTAAGGAAAGTCGTGTCGGGTACTGCCAGCTATCACGAGATCATGAAAAGCCGTTGAATGATTTGACCAGCAAAAGCTCAAGGCCAAATAGTCAAATCGTTGAAGCGAGCAGTAACCGGCATGACAGCTGGGACCCCCTGGTGCCACTAGGTCCAGACTTACCAGTAGATCCATTGACATTATAATTTGACCAGACGTAAGATACTCCTCGTCCTGATTCCCACCCAGTCCTCTCACCAGTACATCAGCCAGTTCTTCATTACCAGGTTCTCCTTTTCCAATAGTACCAAAATGGAAGCGTGATCCCCACTTAGCTTCGCGTAGCCTCAGCCGTAGCAGTAAGCTCAGTAATGCCGATAAGTCTTCGCGACCTATCCGATATCGCCTCTGAGAAGCACCTTCACTAAGGAGCTTTTGGGCTGCAGGTCGAAGCTGATCCGGCGACGGAGCCAAGCTTACTGTGTGAGGCTGCGTCATGGCTAATACGTCCATGGCAGCTTCCAAAATAGATGTTGAGTCATAATCCAGATGGTTGGACGGCCGGTCTGTATTCTCTGGGCGGCCAATACTTCTGAAAATACTTTCGAAGTTGGCTTTGCGGAAATAAGCATCGTCGTTGCGCCAGAAGTAATCACCTCCGTCCTGCGTGCCCAAAATATCCGTGCCTTGGACGACTAGTAAAGCTACAGCACGCTGGAAGGCCGCCGAATCCAATTTTCCGTCAGTAGTATCGCGTGGAAACGGGTGATAGGCGTAGAAGTAGAAACATCTCCATAGCAGCTGGATCGAGGCCTCGGACATAGCGACATCAGGATACAATTTCTCTAAGTATTTTCTGAAACTGTTGTCGTTCCAGTCTGGGTTTATTGTTAGTTACCGTAGCGGGCTCTATTCTGGTGGCTGGTTGTGACTGACATGGCTGCTGAGAGGAGTCTTCGACGCAGTAGGTGTCGAATGTCGTCCACAGACTCTTAACCCCCCTAAGCCTCGGCGCAAGTGCTTTTTTGAGATCTTCGAGGACCGAGTCTGAATTTTGTAACTTCATGTCAGCAAAACCAGACTCAAATCTTGTAGATCAAAGTCTCTACTGACTGACCTGCTCTGGCTTCATCGAGATACTTTTTCACCTTCCGCTTATATGGTCCGAATTGGACTTCATCTAGGATCTTGCCCAGTGCTCCGATCATAGCTACTGCTCCTGTTATGCTCTGCTCTGTTATCACATGTACATACAAGAGCGCGGGTTTGAAAAGGTTTGTCCCTCATATGACGACCTAGATTTGCGTGCTACGTGTGTGCTCTCAAGTCGTGGATAGGGCATGTAGGAAGTTAAACTCCGCAGTCAAACTCAAGCGTAGAGTACTTGAGTCCTCTACGTACACCCGTAGTACTCAAGTTCTTGTCTGAACCGGTACAGAGGCAGGGTCATATACGTATAGCTGTATTGAATAAGACAGCTAGCTGAGGAGAAAATACCTTACTTTAAGGTCGGCAGGGGTTTTTTCGTAATGGTCCATGTAGGCTAATTATATAACAATAATACCATAAGCATTATTTATAAACAAAGATTTATTATAAGATTTATCGTATCTATCCTAGAATTCTCTTATAAGATTTTCTTATATTAGGTATATTTCAATATTATGATATCGTAACTTAAAAATCCTTCTAGGAGTCTTCTGAGAAAGTGAGTCTTCTATGAATATTTTTATAAATACGAGTGTTAAGTCTTATTTTCGGGAGTTGACTACTGTAAATTATATTTACCTTTTTATTTCTGACTTTAGATTTGAGCGATTTGGCTAAAGTTCTCGCGGGGGTGTTATTCTTGGGGTTTTTATGGGAAGTGGTGGGCTGGGGTAAGGTGGGCTGGGGTGAGGTAGGCTGGGGTGTATAGTGAGAGGTTATAGTGGTATTAGGCTAAGATGTAAAATATAGCTTAGTCATTAGCGGTAGGATCGAGAGATCTTCTGATCTAGGGATATTCTAAGTGGAAATCTCCTAGACCTAAAAATACTCCTAGATCTCTGTAAAATATGATATTATTTTATACTATAGCTATTTATACCCTAAGCCTTATTAATGTGGGTCGAAATATTCCCGCCTACAATTTTCTAATACTCTCCAGGTATGATTAGTAAAACCCCCTGTTGACTTAAAGTACATTACCTTATGATAGCAGCCCCTGCCATTAGCGATTTCGAAATGGATAAGATTGCTTGGCAAAGAAATCGCGCCCAGCCTCCGGCTTTGCTACCAAAAATACATAAAAATTCAGGAGAAACCATGTTTTTCTTTCTAGATTCATGAATTTTTATTATTCATTAATCTTGTTTATATTAAAGTTATACTGATTTTTAATTCTATTACTTTTTTTTCAGATTAATTTTAAGGAATCTTTTGATAACCTTGATTTTGTATAGAAGAGTACGTTCACTTCATCACTTTACTTAATAAAAATAAAAATTCAATTTAGAAAAACTTGACAAAAAAGACTAATAGAACTTGTTAAACAAACTAGATTTTATATAGAAAAGACTTCTTAATAATTAATATTCATAAATTTAGATAAGAAAAACATGATTTTTTTGGATTTTTTGGATTTATGGTGGCAAAGCCGGAGGGGGCGCGATTTTTTTGCCAAGCAATCTTATCCATTTCGAAATCGCTAAAAGACACGCTAGATCACAGTGAGGCCGAGGCAGATCTCTGTCTTCGTGGCGCTGGATTTTCTGACTTCCATAATCCAAACAGGCATTTATCTCTACACACACTCACCAATGGCTTCCGGGTCGCTACGAATAGCTTTGATACCTGGTGATGGTATCGGCCGTGAGGTCATACCGGTAAGCATGCCATTTCTGTAGTTATGGCTTCCATCCTGACTGACACAGGCAGGCCGACGAGTACTGGAAGCCATTGCAAGCACCTTCAAACTCGACCTCTCCTTCCTCGATCTCCCCGCTGGTTACGAAACGTTTCAGCAAACGGGCAACGCCCTCCCAGACAGAACGGTTGAGACATTGAAGAAAGAATGCAATGGCGCCCTCTTTGGAGCCGTCAGCTCCCCAACCACCAAAGTCGCCGGCTACTCCTCGCCTATTGTCGCTTTACGGAAAAAAATGGATCTCTATGCCAATGTACGACCTGTCAAGACTACAGCCTCATCTAAGATGCCGATAGACTTGGTCATCGTGCGCGAAAATACGGAAGATTTGTATGTCAAAGAGGAGCGAACATACGAAGCCTCGGATGGCTCAGGCAAAGTCGCCGAGGCTATCAAGCGCATTTCTGAACGAGCAAGCCATCGAATAGCGTCTATGGCTGGCGAGATTGCCCTCAGGCGGCAGAAAATCAGAGATACCGGAGTTCAGAGCGTGCACTCAAGTCCTTTAGTCACCATCACACACAAAAGCAACGTCCTCTCACAAACTGACGGTCTGTTCAGAGAAACTGCTCGTGCCGCTCTCGCCGATCCAAAATACAAGTCATTAGATGTCGAAGAACAAATCGTCGACTCCATGGTCTACAAACTCTTCCGCCAACCTTCTTCATACGACGTAATTGTCGCCCCAAATCTCTATGGTGACATCCTCTCAGACGGCGCAGCTGCCCTGGTTGGAAGTCTTGGTCTTGTGCCATCCGCGAATGTGGGCGATGGCTTCGTGATAGGAGAACCATGTCATGGTAGTGCACCAGATATCATGGGTAAAGGGATTGCGAATCCAATTGCTACGATTAGGAGTACGGCTCTGATGCTGGAATTCCTGGGGCATGAAGAAGCTGCTGCGAAGGTGTATGCGGCGGTAGATGCAAATTTGGATGAAGGGAAGTTGCTGACGCCGGATATGGGTGGAAAGGCAGGAACGGTGGAGGTGATTGAGGATGTGATGAGGAGGATGTAGTGGGCAAGGCTCATTTTTGAGGGAAGATCGAGAGGTATGTACAAAGTTAGCTCATAAGCATCAGAGCATCTAGAAAGACGGCGCAAGAGCTGAAGAACAATGGGACTATGCCCATGAAAGCTTTAACACCAATGGGGTCACTGTCTTCTGAAACCCTCGTGAGATGAGAACCCAGCCGACTGGGAGGAAACATGGAACAGCGCAAGGAAGATCTTTTAGCTGAATGTTTCTGCTGAGCCATCACGTGATTATAAAGCTGACAGGTAGAGAACCATAAGTTGCCCAATTTAAATTTCCTCTACGCAGTTTTCCGCGTCAGATTGCTTATTCGAGGTAGGAATGGGAGTTACAAGACAGGTTTCGGTAGTAGAAGGAAATGTGAAGGAAGTATCAGCTCGGAAATGTAAGATCTTCCGCCTATCATAGGTTTTTATTTACTCACTGATTACACCGATACACTCCACTTCTATCTCTTTGTTTCACCTCATCAGTCCCGCCATCCTAAATAACTCTAGCCACAGCAATGGGTTCCTTGACCAAGGAGCCACGCGACTACTCCAACTACTTCCCCCACCTCACCTCACAAGAAGAAGACCTCGCCTTCTTGTACTCCAGACCCACCAACCGCCCTGCCCAGGACGCAATGCCATCAGGAGGGCGTCTAACCCCATACAATGACAGCCTCATGGGCACATCCCGTCACCACAACTTCGATCTCACACCTTCGCCTACCTGCTCTGAGCCGGGAAGCAACGTGTTCTGACGAGGCAAGGATATCTATCTCGGATAGCATCACAAAGAATAGCAAGTGGCGACGAGGTGACAGTCCTCCTCTAACACATTCACGAGGCGAGCGGTACCATTCGAGGACACTATCCCCTCCTCCACTGCTCCATTCTTCGCCACCTCCACGCTCAAAGCGTCGGCCATCTCGTACTCCACCCAGAGATCATTCCAGGCGTCTAGATAGTTACAATGAGCTGTACTCGTCACGTTCACGCTCTCCAGTGTCTTCATCCTGGGCAATTGGCACCTACCGCCCACGCAAAAAGTACACATGCGACAATTACGGATGCGGAGACCAGCACAGTCACGACGACTGTCCTCTACCGATGAGATGTCGCGGCTGTCGTTCAAAAAGGCACTTCACGTCCGCCTGCATTCAAGTCTGTGTCAGCTGTGGTCACACTGGCCACAACGTGGCTTACTGCTCAGAATTTTTTGTTGGTAGAGATGGAAGATCGCGGCCTTTGGAATTGTCTAGGTACATAATACTTTCTTCCATCCAAGCTTGCCCCTAAGAGAATGTTGATTTCGGATTCAAGGGACCATGCCAGAGAGCGTCAGCAAGGATTGTACAGGGCACGAAAAGATTGGGACAGGCCACAAAGTCGACCAAACCTCCGCTTTGACTCTCTTCAGCGCCACAGCACCCAGTCCTCGAACCCTACCCGCTTATCATCACTCGAACTCACAGACACTTCCCCAAAATTACCGCAACGTCTCGCATTCGAAGAAGAAGAATCCATCAAGCAAGCCCGCCACGAAGCCGATATGGCGCGCAAAGCTGCAGCGCAGAAACTAGAAATCGAGCACGAAGTCCGCTTACTGGAGATCCGTCGGCAGTATGCTGTGGGTTTGCCATCATCGAATGCTCTGCCTTCGTCTGTGCTGTACCCGCCTTTTGATCCGAATGGGCCTTTGGATATACCAGACACGGTATTCAGGCCAGACACGGTATTCGGGGGTGAACTATTGCCAGTGCATGCTGCAGCTACTGTAAGTAAGCAGCGAAGAGGAGATGGGAATGGAGGGATTAAGATGGAGAAGGGAATCAAGTATGCAGGCAGGGCGCTTCGGGGGAGAGGAACCGTTGCGGGTGGGAGAATCTGTGGATGACTAGACGTGCTTTCTCGGATGCTTAGTGCGCTGTGAACATGGCATTCTGTTAACAAAACAGTATTACACGGCGCATCTATAGCTATGTCGAGCAATTACACAGGGCAATTTCGCAAAAGAATTCCTTTCGACCGTCTCATCATCATCATCATAGATTCGTGATAGTCCATCATCATCATAAAGTCCTTGCCCAATCCCATTCCGCCAGCTCAATGCACTGCGCGTCCAAGCACGCCCGAACACTACACCTCGTCGTACACTCGCTCGCCCATCGCCTTCACAGCACCTCGAAAAGCATGGCCACGAGCCCGAAAGCGACGGCGAGGAAGTGGGAATAGACGCCGAAGAAGCCGTGGTAGCGTCGAGACATTGTCGGGAATCGGGCAGTCCGGGTGTCTCGGTTTCCGTGGATCGAGAGAGAGAGAGAGAGAGAGAGAGGGGAGATGGGGATGTCGGGGTGAGGCAGACAGAGTAGGTCCGGGAGATGCGGACGGCGGTGCGAGTAGCGTTGGGTGGTGGTGGTGGTGTGGATTTTGGGCGTGGGAGAGATAGTAGTAGGTTGGTATGTTGCGAGGCGTTGGGTGAAAGGTTTGATTTTCTTTAGTATTTTTTTTTTCAAAGTTTCGGGACTTCAAGGAAAGAAGGCAAGCATTTCAGTCCATCTTATACCGTTTATCTTGCTATGAATAGGAAACACAGCCGTCTGAGGACTGAGGCATTTTCGTTCTGGGAAATGGCTCCCGCCGGTGGCGAACGGCAGGTACCCTAGGTACGCTTCTGATTTGCGGGAGACCACGACATCGTGCAGAAACGAAAACGAACCACCAAAATGAAAGTATGATCGGCGAAGAAGATTAGATATCTTCAATTTGGTGCACGATATTGAAGGTCTTGATGATATCACGCTTGAGAAGATGATGGTACATGTGCGCCCAAGAATGCTTTGGATGCGAAACTCCGCGCCCAGATGCCAAACACACACCAGTACATACATACAGCTTGACAAATATGGAATTAACCAGACATTACCTCCTCTCAACCAATAACACATGCATAGCGACATAGGCGATCACGATGAAAGCCCCAGAGAAAATGGCGAGACCAATGACATCCTTCCACAAAGCGAGGTTGTCGAATCCAAACGCACTCAAGATAGATGCGCCAGGCACTTCGATGTCGAGACCGTATTTGTGATCGACGAGAGTAAGGAATGTGACTTCGTTGACGATGAGACCCTCGAAACCGTAGTGAAAGATCGAGAGCTGTAGCACATTAGCACAGAGTTCTTATTCGGTAGTGAAAAACAATGCTTACGGTCTGCAGCCACAGTGCCGCCTTCGGTATTGCATCGTGGTTGAGCAACAGACCTGCAAAGAGCAGGCTGAAAAGCATCACCAAGCTGCCGATCAGATTCGCAACACCGCCGTCCTTGAAGACGATGCCGATAAACAGGCATATGGCCGCTGCGGCGAGGTTGAAAAGCACTAGGATGAGTATGAACTTGAGGAATTCAGGCCATGCCGGCGTTAGGCCAGTCATGGGGTATACGATTGCTCCCATGATTATTGGAGGTATGAGCCGTAGGGGAACGATGTCGAAGACAACTTTTGCCGCGAAATAAGAAATAGGCGAGTAGTAGCCATTTGCTCTTTCCCGTACAAACAGAAGTCGCTCAGATGAGAACACCGTGAGACTTGTTAAAGTGCTGAAGCCGAACAAGGCGAGGATGAAAAAGAAAAGGCCGAGTCTGTTTTGGAAGCCTTTTATATCGTCGGTCAATCCGTAGAATAAAAAGCCGGAAAGAACAGCAAGGAGGATAGCGATGGCGTAGTGGGTGAGCATTAGCATAGGGTTCCGGTAAAGGTTTCGCCAGGTTCTTTGGGATAAAATCGTGAATTGACTGATCCAGCCCACGCGTCGGTAGCCTTTCATAGCACCTGATGCGACTCTCGCATGATTAGGCTGACCATTGGCTGAACCGTTTGCATTCGATGCACTGCTGACAGCAGCGTTGATGTCGTCTCGAACTGATCCAGCAACGTCTGAGCTGGCATAGCTCGAGACAAGATCATCCAATCCAGTACCAGTGCCTGAGGCTGGCGGTGGAAGTTGATGTGGATCATCCAAAATTTGCGGGCGTACTTGGCCCTCTTGCTTTGACAGCCTGATCAGGTCTGCACTGTTCCTGCGATCATTAGGATCGGATGCCTCATCATCAGTCTTTGGGGTCGAAGGGGATTCTACGCCTGTGCTGCTCTTCTTCCGTGTGAAGAGTTTACGATCTTGCTGCTGTTTCAGCGATTGTTTGCGTTTGCTTTTCGGTCTAAAATTCGACTCGTTGTAGCTCCCGTAGCTGCTGTTGTCCAAGCTCATGTTTGAAGCACTAGCTATAGATTTGACGGCGCGAACGCTACTGTTGACAGTCCGCATACCTTCGCTACCTCCGTCGAACCCGGACGGACCATTCTCGTCAGTCGGCGTATGTGCTGTCTGAGCATGCATGGTGAGGTCCACAAGGTAGTCCGCGATATTGAAGCCAGGCGGACACGCGTACCCGATTCGGTCAAAGTAGCTTTGGCAACTGGCATACGGTCCAGAGTAAACGGTCCGTCCTTTTGCGAGGAGCACAAGATGGTCGAAGAGGGCGACTATGTTAGATCGAGGCTGATGTATGGTGAAAATTACCGTCCTGTTGTAGTTCTTTGCCAGCGTTACTAGACACTCAATTACGTTAAATGCATTGAAAGCGTCCAGTCCGCTTGTTGGTTCATCCAGAAAGAGTATACTGGGGCTCGTGACCAGCTCGCATGCGATTCCAACTCTACGCTTCTCACCACCAGAGATGCCACGTCCATTACCGTCTTCTGATCCAATGAGCTGGTCTTTAATGGCGCTGATTCCGAGCTGCTTCTCGACTTCATAAACGCGCTGTTCCTTGACCAAAATGCTCATGTCTCGAGGTAGTCGAAGCAGAGCACTCGTCATGATGGTTTCATGGACGGTCAAAGTTGGGAGCATCGTGTCGTCCTGGTCCACGAAACCGACAACACTTCGGTATTCATTGTCAATGACTTTTTCCCCATTGACGTAGAAATTCCCCTCGACAATACCACGCTTGTTCTTTCTTGCTAAGATATCGAGGAATGTAGTCTTGCCGGCTCCTGATGCACCCATGATAGCCATCAATTGGCCAGGTAGTGCGATACCCTGAACACCCGACAGAATCTGCTTCCCGTTTAGGTTGTAAGACACATCGTCAAATTGTAGTGATGCTGGTTTGTGTTCGGCCATCATCTGGGCCAGATCGTCATCTGAGTCGTCTGACAGATAAATGGGTCCATGTTTGAGCTGCCTCCTGGACAAATACCAAACCAGCAGGATCACCAATACGACAAATAAGGCGCATCCAGCAATCACACCAGCAATCAACGGTGTGTTGATCTTCTTGACTGGCCTGGTATAGCCTGGGACGTCTGTTCGGTATAGGCACTCTCCCCAAGAGCATTGCAAGGTAATAGACTCGTCTCCGAAGACGCTCTTGATGAGATTGTTCATTGCTGGTTCCTCGAACTTGCTCCCGTCTTTGCTGCTTCCGCCCTCCGTGCTGATCGATGAGAATGACGCTGGACCTTTGATCTCTTCCGTCAGAAAGTCTCCGATATCGATTGATCCTTCTTCTCCACAAAGCATGCGACCTGGAACACAGGCGCACTTGATATGCTCGCATTTATAGCTTGTAGTATTCCTGTCGTATTCGTTCTTTGAGCTATAGGAACAAGTATCGAGGGCGCAGTAGAAGGATTCCTCTTGACCGACCCAGAATTGGAAGTTGCATGTCTCGTCCTCCGCGTTGCAAGAAAAGGTGGCTTGCGGATACCGCTCTTTCAACTGGTCCAGAATTTTTCTGTTGGTAATATCGCACATCTGGTGGTTTTCATTCACCACGACGCCATCCTTATAACATGTACCGCCGTTGCCTTCCGGCATCAACGCGTTACAAGCTTCATTTGACTTGCATACATTGCAGTTTATGCCCTCCCAGCCTTCCTCACACTCACACTGCCCTCCGCCTCTTGGGGCCCTGTCTCTACCCATGGCCAGGGAGCCACAAACCGGCGTTGCGCAGTCCTCACCCCCCAAAGCCCGGAGGGCATGAGCATTTGCCATTGTATTTGTTACATGTAGCAAATTGTGCACATTGAAAGGCCTCGAGGTTGCAGTTGAAGCAGGGCGGGCAGTCTGGCGGACGGTCGTCGTATATTGAATAAGTCGACTGAAAGAGATCGGACCTTGAGACATTCTGGAATGCGAACGAAGGCCATCCAAAGGACAACGTTCCGAGCGCTGCGAGCGCAACCCGCCGTATGATCATCGTGGAAGATCTGTAGAAGAGGCGGGTGGCTGGAGCCTATGGAACCACCGATAACGTGAACTTCTGCCTCAAAACAGCACTGAGACCATGGAGAGGGACTGGACGAAAGCACAACTCCTCTCTTGCTTCTCGAAGGGTATGGAAAAAGAAAGATGAAAGGTTGAGGCAGAGTTAGGGTGGCAAGTGGGTCATGCGAGCTCTTGACTAGGACAGAGCTCGCAAGCGACGCATGACTGCGGGGGGCTTGGCAAGACGTTCGGAGAAAGCTTCGCAATTTGGAACGAGAAAATTCCTTTCCCACGCATCAACCTCATTGTCCGCAGCTCTGAAACGTTTGACTCGCATCTGCTCTGGCTACGGCGTGGTTGACAATCATGACGATCGCGAAAGTTGCGCCTTTCGCAGTCGAGCAGGTGAGCTTCCAAGCATCTCCTAATGTGCGTGAATTCTAGTAGTTCTGCGTATATTTCGCGAAGATTCTTAGGAGCGCAAATCGCTTCCGCGAGGACCTGCTCGATAGGGTAGTACAGTGCCTTGCTTAATGTTTTGGCACCTCTACGATTCGAATAGTCATGCATTTGCAGTAAAGCTGTCTCCGCAGCTGTCAGCAGAGGTCTATTTGTTTGCACCATACCATGCCTTTTGGAGACCAGAATGTCCTGCTGCTAGTGTTCACTATGTATACCTAGAGGCTTACGAGCAAGAGCTGATATTCCACAACCCAGTGGATGGACGCTCATGAGACTCACGCCAGATACAACATTGCAGAAACATGCGTAGCCTCGATATCACTTGACGATCTCAGAGGCCTCTCAGAGGACAAATCGAGCGAGATATGGTCCTCAACAACGAAGCTTACCTATGGCTCCATACGCGGTTCAGAAAAACTACGCACAAACCTGGCGAACCGTTATTCCGCCAAAAAGCCATTCCAAGCAGATAATATCTTGATTACCCCTGGAGCGATTGCTGCAAATATGACAGTTTTCTATGGCCTCATTGGGAAAGGAGACCATGTGATATGTCATTATCCTACCTATCAACAATTATATGAGATTCCTGAGAGATTAGGAGCCGAGGTGGACTATTGGAGAGCAGAGGAGTCAAAGAAATGGCAATTGGACATCGAAGATCTGAAAAGTCTCATACGACCAAATACCAGAATGATTATCATCAACAATCCGCACAACCCCTCCGGTGCCATCGTGCCAAAATCTACTCTCGATCTGCTAATCGAAGTTGCTGAGGCACACGATCTCATAATAATGGCCGACGAAGTCTACCGCCCCATTTTCCACTCCATCTCTCCTGGATCCCCGGACTTTCCCCCTTCAGTCCTCTCACTTGGGTACGCAAAGACCATTGCCACAGGCTCGCTTTCGAAGGCATATAGCCTAGCAGGCATACGGGTGGGTTGGATTGCATCTAGAAGTACTGAGATCATAGAAGCTTGCGCCCAAGCCAGGGACTATACGACGATCAGTGTGAGCCAGCTTGACGACCAGATTGCAGCCTATGCCTTGGACAACGATTGTATACATTCACTACTTTCTAGAAACATTCAGCTTGCGAAGCGGAATCTGGAGATTCTCGAAAGGTTCGTGGAAAGTCATAGGTGGGCTTGCGAGTGGGTGAAGCCTGTAGCCGGAACGACGGCCTTTATCAAAATTTCCCATATGGGAACTCCTGTGGATGATGTTGCATTTTGCCAAAAGCTGATGGAGGATGCGAGTGTTATGTTAGTTCCAGGAAGTAGGTGCTTTGGGAATGGAAAGGATTTCAAGGGTTTTGTACGATTTGGCTTCTGTTGCGAGACGGATGTGCTCGAAATAGGTTTGGAGAAGATGAGGTTGTTCATGAAGAAAGGATATCGCGCTGTGCCGCTAGCAGATGAGGAGAGCGCATGATATCCGAGCTTCAAAAATTTGTTGTACATATGGTGGAGATAATGAATACACTGATTCTGCAGTTTTTGATAAGAAATCAGGTGCACTTGTGGGGTGCTGCCCTTCAATGAACAGATCTCTGTGAATAGCCGAGTCGACAATTCTATATGCCCTCGATGTAGTCTTTTCTGGGGACCGCGTGAGCATCAATTTTCTTTGAGCGTAAAGTAAAAAGGAGGAGTATGTGCTGAGAAACGCTAAAACGCGGTGCCCTAAAGTAGTAGTAGTTTTAGGTGTACGTAGGTAGGCAGAACCTGGAGCACAAGCCGGGAAACAAGGTACCTAAACAACCACTCATCGATTCGACTTCAACGTCGTATAGTACTTGCCGCACCTCTCGAAGCACGATCACTAAGACTGTATACTACAACTTTTCCGCCCAGCTACACACGCTCCACTGCTTGTGACGGCATCCCACAGGCAGGCTTATCGGGCCAGACACACCGATTGGAAGCCTTCACATTCTCGAATACCCAGCGCCGCGAGCATCTTGATACATTATATTGAGTGACGAACCACATTCCAAATGATGTCGGGCGAAGCATGGCTGTACCTTCTGGCGGTACTAATAAATGCCGTGAACCTATTCCTACAAGTTTTCTTCACGATCATGTACAGCGATCTGGAATGGTAAGCAATACTGCTATTCTGCCTCGGGCATGCTGCGATCTGGATGCTAATCAAGTCTGTCTTTATAGTGACTATATCAACCCTATCGACCTTTGCAACCGCCTGAATACCTACATCGTGCCCGAAGCGGCAGTACAAGCCTTCCTTACCGTCCTCTTTCTTATCAATGGCTACTGGATCGCTCTGGTCCTCAATTTGCCATTACTCGCATACAACGCAAAGAAGTGAGCGTTGCTGGACCGCGGCCGGAAGGAAAGTGCTGACAGAAGGCCAGAATCTTTGAGAATCAACATCTTCTCGACGCGACGGAGATATTCAGAAAGCTCAATGTCCATAAGAAGGCACGAATGTTTCCTCTCTTTGCGACTTCTGCGTCTCGTGAGAAGAAAGTGGGCTAACAGCAAACTAGGAATCATTCATCAAGCTCGGCTTCCATCTGATTATGTTCTTCTTCTACCTCTACAGCATGATAGTGGCATTAATAAGGGACGAATCGCATTGACTCAAAGAGAAGGCACATCGGAGCATGCGAGAAGGCGGCTGGTAGTGGCGGCGGATCATCTGCAACTGGCATCAATGCGTAAAGGTGGTCGCGTGCTCAAGGAGTACACAATATTGCAGCTTCCCGGAAGCAAGACCGGCCATGGAGAGACGGGTTGAAGGAGCTGTTGTACAGCAGAGGGATCTTGGACTGGTCACATTGTGTGAAATCTTATTTGTAATGTTGATGATGGATACCCGGTGTATTTCATTAGAGGAAGTAAATGATAATGCTAAACTCTCGAGCTGGTCTTCTCGTACATGCATGAGTCCTGTCCGGTCCTTCCCTCGAAGAAGTCCCAGATGTTCGGGCTTAGATTCGAGTGAATTTGGAATATTGAAAACGTGCCATGTGGATTTGGGATTCTACAACACGCGGCTAAACTCCGGCACCTTGCATTTGCGAGCGTTGGGGATATCGATACCCAATTTCACTTCAGGTTGCTGAAACATTTGTATTCCACACCGTTGCTTTCACAATTTTCTCCCACACACAGCTATGGCGCTCCTTGGTGCAGACTATGCCTCCAGCGACGGGGGCTCCCCTCCTCCGAGGCAAGAATCACGAAAGACCACTGCAAGCACTATAGTCGCTGCTCCAGAGGTCTCATTAGATGTTTGGTCCTACCAGTCTCGGGATTTCAGCTATTATTCTAACACCGTGCAGGATCCAATGCGACTCCAGATGATGCTAGCTAAGCCCACGGATACCGCGCTCACATACAACGTTCCCTATGCAGACCTCTCACGCCCGTCCCAAGGCCCCACGAATCCGTTCAAAGCCACCGAAGGAAACGCTCTGAAAAGAAAGAATGTGCTCACAGGATACGCCGAAGAAGCTGCGATCAGTGATGCCACATTTACAAACCAGCACCGTACTTTCCAGTCTCGAGGATATGCGCAGGAGCCTAATGCAAATGGGGCTTTAGTGGGGGATTTAGCAAGCGCAGAGGAGTATGGGGGGCGAGATGTTGTTCAAATGAAACCTTCGAGAGCAAAGCGGCAAAGGCAGGTTAAAGGCGATCCCAGCATAGTTGACGGAGAGGGACGATATCTGGGACCTTGGGCAAAATATCAAGAGGAGGTCCAGTACGAGGACGAAGCAGCTCTAGCTGAGGAGGAGCTGGCAAGTGATGAGGAATACATGGATGAGTCGGTCGCTCCGGTGAACATGGCGCCCATGAACAAGGCTGCTACGGCCTACCAGGACGATCACTCGAATCAAGAAACGACGGAGTTCCATGGGACCTCGCTGGTCGATTATCAGGGACGGTCGTATATGCATGCTCCAAGGGATATTGATATTGATCTGTACAAAGAACAAGGGCTCGAGAGGACATTCCACCCGAAGTATGTTCCATTTCTCTCCTGTCTCATTGCTCCTTTTGGCAATGGTATTAACCGGCACCTAGGAAGCTCATACATACTTGGAAGCATGGCACAAAGCCTATCAACGCTCTTCGATTCATTCCTTCCACAAATCACCTGCTCCTATCTGCGTCTGCGGATGCCAGGATAAAGATCTTTGATGTTTATCGCGACCGCGAGCTCCTTCGAACATACAGCGGCCATACGAAATCCGTATCGGACGTCAACTTCAACCCTACCGGCACACAGTTCATCAGTGGCTCATACGATCGCTTCATGAAAATCTGGGACACGGAAACTGGCGCTTGCCTCTCGCGGTTCAAGACCGGTGCGATACCCCACTGTATCAAATTCAACCCTTCATCACCATACGAGTTCTTGGCCGGCATGTCGGATAAGAAGATAATTCAATACGACACCCGCTCCGGCGAAATGACCCAAGAATACGACCACCATCTCGGCCCTATCAACACCATCACCTTTGTCGACGAAGATCGCCGCTTCATCACTACCTCGGACGATAAGTCCTTGAGAGCATGGGAACTAAACATCCCTGTGCCGATCAAGTTCATTGCTGAACCTCACATGTTCGCCCTCACAGCCGCAGCTCCTCATCCATCAGGGAAATCTGTCTGCTTCCAAAGCGGCGACAATAAGATTGTCGTATACGCTGCTACTGACCGCTTCCGCCAAAATCGTAAGAAGGAGTTCCGTGGCCATAATACGAGTGGGTATGCAATAGATATAGATATTAGCGCCAATGGTGACTGGGTATCTAGTGGGGATAGTGGAGGTTGGGTGTGTTTTTGGGATTATAAGACTTGCAAGATGCACCACAAAATTCGGGCTGGGGAAGGGGCGATCACGTGTGTGCAGTGGAACAGGCAAACGACGAGTCGGGTGGCCACAGCAGGGTTGGAGGGGGTTATCAAGTATTGGGATTAAGGGCCTGATTGATGATGACAACTCTGCTTCGACGACCAGACTATCGACGTGTTTCTGCTCTCTACAACTATATGCTCAAGGGCTACTCGTCTCACTCTACTCCCAATCCACTCTTCCAGGCGCATTACCAAAGAGAAAGGTCAAGAAAACGAGTAGACGATACATGCAGTACGAACTGCTCAATTCAGATTAGCATGAAAGGCGACATCATTCCTTACCGTATATTAATAACTTCAAGCGGGTCAGGCCCATGTTCGTAATCGTTCGAATCAAACTTTCTGTGATGAGTGAGATTCTGACCTGGAATGATCCGTACCGTAGAACCGCAACGGGCACCGACGTTCTCAACACACCTGAATCCGGCTCCCACTGGCTCCTACCATACCAGATGCTAATTGACTTCGCTATTGCTGAGCCACAGGCATCCCACCAAGCAGTAAAGACAAGGAGAGAAATATCTTCGAATCTGAAAAGTTGAATCTCTTTCATGCTTATACCCGAACCTTAGCGATTCGACCTATCAACATATCGTGTTGCCATCTCGAGACACTTGAGCCACAAAGTGGGAAACTTGTATGATTCGTTCATGTCTGACGCAAAGGCTTGCTTAGAGGCCCAGACGGAGCCTCTGGCACACTGATACATGCATTGCTGTTTAGGACGCTGATATGGTGCCACCAGTGCAAGCCATAAGCGATCGAAAACCAGTGCTCAAAGGCGGTGAAAGGTAAGACGATCCGCCTTGATTCTTCCACGTATAATCTAGTTTAATCGTGAAAAGGAAGCCGACAGGTGTTCGAACCTCGGCACCTCACCAAAGCAAACCTGTGTGAAGGTTGCGTATTAAGAGCTGAGAGCAAGCCCGAGAGGTCTTTCAAGATAGAACTCACCGCTCAGGCGGCAAGCGCTCCAAGCGCAGGACGGCGGAGGCTAGAATAATGCATGACATTCAGCCCTATCAAAGTTATGCTTTTCTTACATCCGTGTTATGCCATATTTGTGCCGGTCGTTGTTATTTCTCATCATCAACAGGAACCCAACTTTGCAGTATGATGGCTCATTGAATACTTAGGTTCACTCTGCATGTTTAGAATGTCGTTCGAATCATGACCTTGATCGGATTCGGTAACAATGGCAAGCCCAAATTCAAGCTGGGCGGCGCCTTCACTTGCCCGCTATCGGCCTGCTATTCTAGCTTTGACCGCCCTTGCTGCAGGATGTGCCATTTACTATATCCGTGAGCAGATATGGTCTTCGTCGATAGCACCAAAAGTGTCGCTGCAACGTTCAAATGCGCGTAGGCAACGGCACCGTCCACGCAGAGAATCAAGCGCTAGTGTTTTCAATTATCTATCTCCTGGACCTACTGAGAGATCGAGATACGTACCGGATGTTCCCTGGGGTACCGTCCCCGTGTCTCTGGACTTCCTTGCAAATGCGGCTTTCGACCAGGAGACATTCGGCGATCACTTATTTATCTCCTCGGCTAGCAATACAGCCCGCATTGTTACCCCACTACGTCGTTGTATGCCTTTGGGGCAGGACATTCGAGTGGCCGCTGCCAGTGATGAGGAAGCATCGACCGTTAGAAGAGAGCTAGAGGAGGCTTTTCTGTGTTTCTATTTCTGGAAGCATATTGCTCCGAGTCCTGTTACAGAAGAACAGTGGAGCTTGATCATTTCTCAACTTGAAGAGAATGGCGGCTTCTCAGCTGAGACCATTACTACCGCGTTGCAATGGCACCAAGCGGGGATACTTACAGAACGCATCGAGTGGTGGGAGCGGCTTATTGAATACAGATGTCGAGGTCGTGTAGATGAAGGGCAGTCCCATCAGCAGGACCCCATCAATGGCGACTTGGCATCGACAATGCAAACCCTCGAAGGACGGGAGACGGTCGCAGACGTTGACAGCGAACATTCCTGGCGTGAGGAGAGTGGGACCAGTGACGGCCAAGATGACGGCAAGGAAGGTCAAAACCTCGGTAACCTACTATGGCGCATAGCCGAGGAGCAGGCACGTAAAGAAAGCTACGTTCATCGCGGAGTCACATGCAATAGCTGCAATGCCATGCCTATAAAAGGAATACGGTATCGTTGCTCTAATTGTGTGGACTTCGACCTGTGCGAATCATGCGAAGCTCTGCAGATACACCCAAAAACTCACCTCTTTTACAAAGTGCGGATCCCAGCACCTTTTCTTGGCAATTCGAGGCAGACCCAACCCGTTTGGTATACTGGCAGGCCAACCACCGTGACGTACAGCATTCCCAAAGAGATTATGGAGAAAATCCAGGGGGAGACTGGTTATCAATCTGTGGAAATTGAGGCTCTTTGGGAGCAATTCAGATGTCTGGCAGCGACCGAGTGGGATGACGACCCCAGTGAATACAACCTAGCAATCGACAGAAGGACGTTTGACAAATGCTTCGTACCAAACACATCGACGCGCCCTCCACCTCCAAATTTGATTTACGACCGCGCCTTCTCCTTCTACGATACGGACAATGATGGATTGATTGGGTTCGGAGAATTCATCCATGGACGTGCAGCTCTTACTAGTAAAAACCCTGGTGAACGTTGGAAGCGAGTTTTCAAAGGCTACGATATCAATAATGACGGCTTTGTTGATCGCCGAGACTTCCTGCGAATGTTCAGAGCATACTATGCGCGTACTAAAGAGCTCACGCTGGATATCGTCAACGCAATGGAGGACGACGTCTCCGAAAATGGAGCTAGGGATATCGTCCTCGGTAGCCAGCCCATCAGCTCGGCATTCTCTGGCGCTATCCCGCCGGGTGAGCGATCAAGAACAGGGGAGGGTAAAAGACAAGATGAGTACGGTGATTATCAAATCCATGACGACATTGGAGGGGCTGTTGATGATCGAGACCATGGGGTGGCGAATCCCGATGAAGTACTCGCCGATTCCACCGAAGCAGCCAGGTTTGGGAACACTCAACGGAAGGGAATCATTGGGCCCTGGATTGGAGATCTTATCAAGAACGACAAATGGCCTCCTGGGGCCATTAGCCGCAAGGACCTCCAAAAGGTGTTCCCGCATCTGAACGAGCTAAAAGACGTAACTAGCGTCCAGGATCAGAATGCCGTTCGACGCGCCGCTCATAAAAGGGTCGCGAGAGAGCATCAAGAACGTCAATTCGTCCGACGAATCGCCCTTCGCAACAGGAAACAGAGGCAGTCTTTCTATCTCGATGGCGGAGACGCTGCTAAGGAAGAGAAACAATCAGAATCTGAAGACGAAGGCAATGCTGCTTCACGGCGCAAGAATGACAAGTCACGAAAGGACGATCTCGTACGTATCTTAGGATCCAGCAAAGCCGGCGAGTTCCGTACGCGTTTGATTGAATGCATTGAAGCTATGGATTGGCCTCTAGAGTCTTCAGAAAAGTTGATTAATGTTGTCTTTGAGATGATCTTTAATGAGTGGGGCGGTAAAGAAATCGCCGAGGACTTGTCGGGATATGGGTCACTTCAGCATGATGCTATTGACTTCGTTGCAACATTTGATTCGCTCATCAGCCTCATGAGCGATGCGATCAAAGTTCCGGGTCCTCAAGAATCGGCAGACGAGCAACGCAAATCTCTTCCGTCGTCGTCTTCACGTCGGTCGCGCTCATCATCAAAGGTCCGCTTTCGAGACGACGTAGGTACCGACGACGAGCACGAATCTCGATCCAGAGCAACATCGATCTCTTCACGTAGTATTCCCGTGAACGAACGCTGGGGCGGTTTTGTACCCGAGCCTGACAAAGATGTTGGTCGCGAAGTGCTCTACCAGGTCACACAAGAAGCACTCAACGAGCTGCTTGACCCTGTTTTCAGGTTGAGGGAAGACCTCGCGCTTGCGGCGGTTCGTACGAGGCGCATGAGAGACCGGCATCGGGCAGAAATTATCGCTTTCGTGAAGGACCCCAGGGACATTAAAGAGCATATGGATATCTACCAGAAGCGGTGGCGTCTCAAACAACAAAGTTTGCAAGAGGGCTATCTGGGTATCCAAGAGATCGAAGAGACATTCGGCGCCGATGAATTCCTCGCATTTATGTCACGAACAGAAGCAGGCGAACTAGATAGTCAAACTGGGGAACGATGTTCTCGGTGCAAAGTATCGGGAGTTGAGTCCTGGATCTGGGCCGGCCGGTTTTGCACTCAATGCGGTAAACCCTCTGCAGAGGCAGTAAGGTTTACGGCGACCAGTCCTAAGGACCCGCCGGTTGCTTGTCCTAGTTGCGGTAGAGGGATGCCGGCTTCTGCTAACGGCTGCAGCAGTTGCGGTGCTACTTTACAGAAAGTCATTGATGAAACGGAAAAGTTGTGGAAGGTTCTGCGTGGGAGCCAAGGAAATTCGGACCGAGAAGTCATGCAAGAGGAAGGGGAGCTCAAAAATACGCCCAATGAAGACCCCGAAGCGCTCGAAGATCTTCACATCTCCGTCACAGCGTTCAACGAGGCCAATTCCCCAGCTCTAGAAGAGACAATCGCCCAGAAGCCTCTAGAGGACCTCCTAATTGAATCAGGCTACGCTGCCACCTCTTCTAGCAACCCTTATAGCACCCTATCGCAACCACCAGATCCGACACTCCCACAGAATAGACCCGATGGAACCCTTGAAGTTCCCACGAACCTCCAACTAGACGGCGCCAGCGACATTGCAACTTCAGTATCGGCCTCTTCTCAACACAGTCTCCATACAGAACAAGCACGGATTCCGACCGTGCGTTCGGGTGAACCTCCCAAATCTCCAACCCCAGACCCGACACTGCCCCAGAATCGACCGAACAGCCTCACCACACCTTCGGCCAAATCCAACAAGGACACTCCTACCTCCACCTCCACTCTCGAACTCACACCTAAAGTAACCACGAACGGCGTCCTGTCCGATCACCACTCTGGCCAAGACCAGAACCCCGACGATAATGATGATGCTCTAGCGGATCCCAACACATTAATGTACTATGCTGCGCTGGATATACTTGAGGCAGAGGATAAAGAACGCGGTGGACCGGGTAGACTGAGCTTCGCTGAGTGGGAAGACATTATGAGGGGAGAAAAGGGACAAGCGCTAGGATTCCTAGGAAGCTGGATTGAGATCGCGAGCTTTTAAACTATAGCGGGGAGTGAAGAATGTATAGTAGACGAGTAACAGCAGCAGCATGCAGCATACATAAATGCATTGGGGCGCTTCCTAGCTCGCAGTAACTGACTACAAGGAGCTCTCTTGTTCAATATTTCATGGCTTTCCTCATATCCTCTCACTAGATTGCCAGATCACCGAATTTCCTTACATCGCCTGGAGCTAGTGATGCCCAATCCATTGCTGGTGACAATCCTTCTTCCCCTTACTTGGTTCATGTGCCTCACTATGGTCTTATGTAGACACCGGTCCACAATTGCACACTTAACACGTCGGACAAAGGATCTAAAATCTCCCTCTTCAACCCGCTCACATATTTCGGCAACCAGCGGTCCCTCCTCAGATTCCCAAACCCACTCCTCTGACTTCCGTCACCGCACCCTGTGGACTCCAACTTAGATATCCTCCTCAATCTGCGGAAATCATTCTCCGTCCCCCACCCCCGAACCTTCTCCCGTCCCGCTCCGCCTCGTCACCACGACGCGGTGAAGCGCTATGCCTATTCGAGGTTTCTGTCCTGGTTTCCTTTGAAACACCGGTAAACAAATGCCCAGAAAAATAATAGATTCGAAAGTCGCTAAAGGTGACGCTAGTGGTCCGGTTGTTTGACCTGCCCCTAACCACTCCTTGCGCTTCTCATCTACCACGAGCACATAGCTACCGATGGGCGACGACGGCTCTATACAGAGCCTTCTTCGACACCTTGTCCCGTTAAGCAATGCTGTTTCTACCATTTGCGGCGCAGTGGTGGTGGTGGCTCGGGTTCAAGCTGTAATCTACTCTCGAAACCGGACGGACCTCTAGGTCAGATCACAGGATAGTAGGCGTGGAAAATTGCAAACAGTGGTCCTAGGTCAAGGTCAAATGCTAAAGACTGTATTGCTCTGTGCGGTTGGGTGAGCCCCAGCGCGAAGAATAGTTGTGTCTGGCCGATTTATCAAAAGATAAGCGTTGATTGGGAACGCACTTCCGCATGGAGCTGCATCTTCACTAAAGTGATACTACGATCGAAGATTGCGGCCGAGGGAGCCTCTGCTGGGGTATGTATCTTCTGATATGGTGTTGACTCCGAGCTTTGCTCTGGCCGTCATGTCTACCATCGAGAGAAAGACAGGGCCATTCAACTACCGACCATGTAGCAGCCCTGCAAAGCCAGTTTGCAGAACCAAACCTTCAGACTGTAAAAATCCGGTAGCGGTAGCAATTGAGGTTTTGGTGAAGAAAAGATGTTTGTTGGTTTTGGAGCGGATGCGGAGACCAGCATTGCCCGCTGTATTTGCGCACAATGCAGTGAATCTGAGAACAATATTCATGTTTTGAATAGTGTGCACTATCAGAGGAGTTCAAGGATGACTGTGGAAAAGTTGGATGTCAGAACCTTGGCCCAAAGACGAACAATACAAAATGATCAAAAGAGCTCGGTCTATTGGTGGCGTGACTGGTGATTGCCAATAACGATGCTCTTATTATGCGCCACTGGAGGTAAGGGCTCTAACAACCCGTAGCGGATGTCCGTCAGTATCGCGGGTCTGTACCTCTTCATTATTTAGCCAAATATCTTCGTCTTCGCTTTCACCATTCAGCCGCTTCCATATTCCGTCCCACAGCCCTTTCTTATGTACCATAGCCAGCACCATGACCACCGGCAGATGCCAGACACTTGCCCAGAACAAACCCCTCGCACTTCCCTTGTGTCCCTCTTTTCTCCAGAACCTCCACGCCTCTTTGACCATCCATGCATTGACAATGCTGCTGGTGACCAAGAATCCTTGGTCCGTAATCTGGAACCACCACAGGCCAGCACAGATCGGGAAACAAAGTATGGCATACCGAAGTGCCACTCGGCCGTTCATTCTGGCGTTAGTCCACACAAGCATGCGGTATCCCGCATTCTTGTACTCCTCCCTAATAGGCCAGCTCAACGAGTTGAAATGTGGGAATTGCCATGCGAACAGTAATCCTGCGAGAAGCCATCCACCAACGCTTCCTTCACCGAGCAGAAGTTCTTTCCATTCTCCACTTCCTGTTGCACTTTGTCCTGCTGCCGCCGCCCAGCCCATCAGTGGAGGAATGCCGCCCACTATAGCTCCGGCCCACGTATTTAGAACGGAGATCCGTTTCATAGGCGTGTAGATTCCGGCGTAGAGCACGATGTTTAATCCTCCCAGGAAGGCTACAGTAGGGTTGACGCCGAACCACAAGCTCCCTACCCCTGAAGCTCCAGCGGCAGCTGCGAACATCAACGCTCCTTTCTTGCTTATAAGGCCACGAACGAGAGGTCGATTGCGTGTCCGGCTCATCTGAGCATCGTACTTGGGCTCCAATAGCATATTCAAGGCATTTGCCGAGGCGCAACAGAGTGCAGTACCCGAAGTGAGGAAAACGAGAGTCAAAGCCGACAGGGAGGGAGATGCTGTGGTCGATGGTAGGAGGAGCGCTGGGACAGGGTAGAGCGAGTATGCCGTCGCTGTAGTTAAGACGATCAGGAAGGAGAGGCGTGGCTTCGAAAGGGAGAGACAGGTCGTGAGTAGTCGACGAAGAGACGTGGCAGGCATGGTCGCGGATAAAGTGGAGAGGCGAGAGGATGCATCGAGAGGAAGAGGAGCTTGTGCATTGGTCTCATCTTTTATGCGTTTCCTCCTTCGGTGTGGAGGTTCTGAAGAGTCTTTTAAGGTCTCCAGAAGGGACTGACTCTGCGGACTCTGCGGACTCTGCGGATTAGTTCCCAAAGTCGTGGTAGACACGTCTTCTGGTATTGGTGGGCGCGTGGCTTTAGCTACTTCGTATGGCAGCGCCGGCATCTGCCATTGAGCCTTGGAGATGTTGAGGCTACCATTGGCAGAGAAATACTCTCTTCGTAGCAACTTTCCAAGCTTAGGATTGGCAGCAATGGCTTCATTATGTGGGGAGACGCTGAATGGACGCCGAGTCGTCCTCGTTCTTGTAAGGCGCAATAGACATCTTACACATATCTGGTCAATTCTAAACATGCGGCGCCTGAGTATTTTAGCTCGCAATAACATGCCACTGATATGTCCAGCTTTACTATCCCATCGACACATGATACACCATTTAACATATTCGAGGACGGCGACCCGGGGGAGCTAGTGTATTAAACCGCTAGAGCCATACACATACTCGTACCCCCCAATTATTGCCATTTGCCATATGTTGTTTTTCCGGTTGAAGACCGCTTGACCTCAAAATCAATTGAAAGGAGAATGGCATACTGTACTGACTGTGCGCATTCAACCCGGCGTTGAATCTCAAAGCCGCTTTTTTCCATATGTACGGGTAGATGCTCCATATTTGAGTCACTCTTCTAGGCATCACCCCACTTGGGTAGCCTGATTGTACACGCATTTTGAGCAATATTCAACAAAACCGCTAAGTATCCATCTTCTTCCTCATTTATGACACTCTTATGTTGTTTCCTTCACCCTCTCATATTTTATTGATGCCCTCGAAATTTGTTACGTCACCTGGTCTTTGCCCTCACAATCCTCCCGGGTCGGTCTTACAGTCCAGGGAGCTACGACGATGGAAGGACAGATACCCACAGAGTCACCTCACAGTCGCCATGCAAGCCGAGGCCGTGAGAGCACATCGGTAAAGGATGCTCAACGTCTACCGCAGGCGATGGTGTGGGACCCTTGGCCAGTCACGAAATTCGGGTGCAGAAAAGACACCATCTCGAAAGCAGCCCGAGTGCTAGTTCGAGCGCGCAACACAGAACTTATCAACATTTGCAGCAATGAGATCGTTCTGCTACCAGCAAGTGGCGGCGTTCCTGGTGTTCAAGGAGGTTCACGTGAGAGACCTCTTTACAGCCTCCGCCCGCCCAAACTGGAGCCGTTCAAGATCCATCTATGGCAGATCCCTGCGGTGCGTACTTGGAATAGAACAACCTGGTCGTGGGATGTTACCCCAGGAAAGATCATGGTGCGCCGAGGTCAGAAGTCTGAACCACTCACCCAATTCCTCAAGGCGGTTGGGGTCGCCAAAGACGATGCAAAGATGAGCGATCTGTGCAATCACTTCCAATGTTGGAGGTCTCTCAAAACCTCTAATGAATGGCTCAATAAGTTTCCTAGGCATCTCCGCGGGGTGGTCTACCAAAGGTGGTGGTCCTTCAATGGATTTCGTTTTCTACAACTTCCTCCTGAGCTAAGGGAAACAATCCTGACTTTCGCCATGGGACCCATCGCCGTACCATTCGCGAAGAGATGGCATCCAAAACGACATGTCCAAGTGACGATGCCGAATATGCGTCTTTCTCTCGTCAGTAAGCAGCTCAATCGTGAGGCGATTGCAGCCTTATTAGCTCATACCACATTCTACTTTCACGCTATTGAACAGTTCTTACAGTTCTTCCGGCACACAGATGCAATATCACGAGCGATCTTTCGACCTCTTAAAGGGCTTCGTTCCTTAGAATTGGACCTAAGTCCAGATTGTTTACTTTGTCTTTTTGGTATTAGCTTCGGCCCCAATGTATTCGGCGTACGAGACATCCGTTACCAGCGGTCCCTCGCCCTCGACCTTGGCATATTCTTCCATGACCAATCCCCTCTATGTCATCAAATATGTATCAAGATCCCACACGTCTTTCAGCACAACCCCCGCCCTGACCACACTTGCTGCCAAAAGGTGCATAATCTAGCGTTCTGGGCCGGTGCACGGGCACGACTCCGTAATATTGCTGTAATTAAGTTGGTCGGACACATCGACGAAACACAGAAGAAGGATTGGCTTGCCGAACATGCTCTCGAACGGAAGGGAGTGGTTCCGGAAGCAAAGGATTTTGCAGGGTGGCAAAGAGGGATTTGGACTCAATGGTGAGGTCGCATTTCGTTCTTTTCTCTCGGGGCGGCGGCCGTTTCCTTTGCTTGGTTTCGATGGTCTGGTACGATAGTTCCGTTATAACTTTGGGAGCGGACTATTGCTTTGCGTAACTTGCTAACAGATTTACAGCAGCAATTCAGTATGTGAGTGCAGTCCAAAGTGCAAGACGCGGAGATTCTAGCCATGATCCCAGTCACCCCCCGGCCCCAAACATCACAACGCTAGCTCATACTCTTTCGAAAAGCCTATAATCGACGGCTCACAATTCCTCTTCATACGCCTTTTACTCTTCGTATCATCTCGCCTTCAAGTTCCCAGCCTATCACGGTACCTGCTGGTAATCTCTTTGGAAATTGTCTTTTTGGATCGCGTGGCAGGGTTGATGTTCGACCATATCCGCGAGGCGCAGAGCGGACCTGATAGTGTCGTTGCCCACGTTGAAAGCAGTACGGTGTTCGAAAATTTACGGTCAGGAGCCTCCGCTTCATGGTGCAGACAAGCTTCCGGAACAAGACGTAATTGCAAATATGACACTTCTCCACCCATTCGCAATTGCAGAATTCCTATTTCGCTAGCCGAGCTTGCTCCAGGAAGAAGTGGCTTGACATTGGATACAAAGTGATGCTGTAGCTTGGCCCCCAAGCATCTGGCGACAGTGGTAAGAAAACATTCTTATTGCCTTCTACTGATTTCATAGGAGCCATCCTATGTACTTTGTTAGCCTTTGGGAGGCTGTGGCCATTGCTCCCTACCCCCTTCAACCAGGACCGGCGAGGTTCCCTCCAACCTGCATCGTCGTCACCCTACATGCCTTTATTGTTTCCTGAGCTCCATCCGCTGTCTTGCAAGCTTTGCTGGCAGGACTACAGCAGCGAATGGGCAGGCCCAGATGTTGGAAATATGCGGGTGAGACGGTTTTTCTGGGTCAACAGCCCTGAGCTACTGGTTTTTTGACCACACCCCACGCCTTCATTGGCCCACACTTCTAGCGGAGTAAAAAAAAAGTTCCAATACGATGGTTTGTACCCATACAAGTTAGGGCGGCAGAAGCCCATGCCTCCACAACCTCTTAATCCAACATAGAATCCAGAATCGCTTGCATTGCACGGGGTATCATATTCTCTCCCTATATACACTTTCCGAAAAACAAAGCAGCGTAATCGTCACCGCTTTCGTTACCTTCAGCCATTTTCTGCTTGCCCATTTGAAGCCACTGCTCTTCCCTCAAGACTGGCAGTGCCTAGCCAACACCCTCACGTTATCCACAAACCCCCTGATGAGATCCTCGTACTGGCTATTTTTCCCATTCATCGAAAGCTGGCCCTGTCTGCGGACTTCTTCAGAAGAGACTTCGATTTCGAGTTCATGCTCCTTTTCGGTTTTGGGCGTTGCCTGCAATCAATTAATGTCAGCCTCGATTGATCGAAGAAGGCTGTGCTCATTTACCTCGGCTGGGGTAACCTGCGTCAGATCAATCTGATACGCCAAATGCTTGTAACTCATGCGATCCTTGTTCCGATCAGCCTGCTTTCCATCCCGCGTTTGAGGCTCCACTAAGTCTGTCATCTCTCCCTTATAGTCCATCTCCACGTTCACACTAATACGCCAATCAAAGAGTGTCCTCGGGCTGTAAATGTCGATATCTGCCACACGTGCTTTGATGATCTTTGCGAGCACTTTGCCAGTCTTCTGATCAGTCGTGATGCGCACCTTTGACTTGTTGGCGTGGCGAGGATTGATGTTGAGACCCGAGACTATGGATTGCGGAAGGGCCAAGGCGCCGGCTTGCGTGAGCTCGTAGAAGGTGTCGATTTCGCGGGTGTGTTTGTAGTCCATGGGGATGCGCGGTTTACGAGCGGATGATGCTGGGGGTCGGATGTTGGATTGACGGACAGCTTCGTTCAGGAACTGATTGAGAGCTCTGTGTTGAACCTGTTTGGTGTGTAGTTTTAGCAGTTTTCTCGGAACGGGGCTAACAGGGAAAGGCCTACCTCGGTCATTGAGCTCTTGAAGGCGATCCGTATGTTAGGATCTGAGTGGCTGACGACACACTCGTTCAGCACAGGCAAGCGAAGTCGGTCATTGGTGTTCTTGTCAATCAGTTGACCGAGCTTGGCTTCAACCTCTAGGACGGCTCCTCCGCCGGTACCACCACCCGCTGGACCGACTCCAACATCATCTCTCTGGACGACATTCTGGAACAACCAATCTGATATAATTCTGACTAGCTCCTCCGCAGGTATAATGTTGAGGAAACTGGGCTCCCAAGGGCCTAGCGGGCCAGTGTTCGCAAGAGTTGGCTGTGCCACAGGTACATGTACACCATTAGCCTGATTGGAGTCGCCGTTAGCTCCTTGCATCCCGGTGGGCTGACCGTTTGATTGTACTGGCACCAATGCGTCAAATGCTTGCCTTGGGGCTGCCCGCCTAGGATTGCCGTTCGGAGCGCGATTACGTCTAGGAACAGACTGAGCCCAGATCGGAATCTCCTTCCAGCGGCGAGGTTTCTGCTTCTTCTCCGGGATTGGTTCAGGATCCGGTGCCATCATCGATTGATTGGCGTCGCTATTCTCCACAGAGACTGACATCGAATTGTTCGGCGAATCTTCCAAACGAGTCTTCTTCTTGGCTGGCTGAGACAGAATCGGAGATTTGTTTGTCGGCGAGGAAAATCCTTCAACATCTATGGGTCGCTTAATTTCGTCGTCGGCTGGAATTTGGTCGTGAGCCCTTTTCTTAGTAGGTTTCGATGGTGAGTCAATGAGAGCCGAGGCTTCTACCTTGGCAGATGGTGGCATTTTCGCATTAGACGGCAACTGATAAGCCGGTGGAATATTCACGAGATACGGTGCGGAAGATGTATGGTTGCGCGGTATGTAATCGAAGGATGTCTTCTTACTTTCTGTATTGAGTGTTGAAGGAGTTGCGGGTTGTGAGTGGCGGTTCATTCTTTCCGGCGGCTCACTTGTTGGTGCTGCATTGAGCAAACCATTCACTCCAATAGAGGACATTCGCGATTGTGTTGATTGTGTTCGATTCATTGTTGGCTCACGGACGCTTGCCAAATCCGGCGAAATCGCTTCTACTTTGCGCTTAGCAGGCGTGACTTGTCCGTTCCAAGTATTAATCTGAGACGATAGCATTTCTGATGAGTTCAAGCTTGGTAGACTTGGTAGCCTTGTCTTGGGGCTGACGCTCAGACTTCTTTCTCGTTCACGCGAATTAATAGGTTCGTGACTCAGTGACTGTGGGTGCCGAACATTATAATTCCGCGGTGATCCAGCTATCGCTGGAGCAGGCGACGCAGCTTGCGGCTGACCATACGTTCCTCCTGGGAGGCTTTGCTCTCGATTATAACTTCCCGAGGACTCACGGCGGAGACTGAAGTTGGACCTTGGAAACGTGGATGGGGGTCCTAGAGGTGTACTCGGTTGGCTCATGTACTGTGGGCCCGTATGCGACTGGGATAGAGACCTTAATTGAGTATGTGATGCCTGTGGTGATTCTCGAAAATAGCTTGGGGGCTGCTGTGCCGAGTTTGGTGTAGGTATTGAATGAGACGAGCTTGGACGTCCAAGGTTATTTAAGCCATGTGCACTACCCGGTGTACTTGTGGTAGGAGTTTGGCTGAGTGGTGTCGATGACCCAAACGAACGGTTGATGGGCGCGCCTGAAGACGGATAGTTGTCACGCTGAGTATACTGAGGACCATGGACCGGACTCTGGCTTGGCATCTGTGAAGGAGGGTATTGCCCACTGTTCAAGCCAGAAGGAGGCATTTGTTGGTATGGTGACCGCACAGCGCTGTGCGAAGGCCCATTTGCCCAATAGTCACTGTGCCCCGGCGTTTGTAGAGGCGACGGTTGTGGAGGCCTTCCATCACGGCGCTCCTGATTAATTGGCGTTTGATTCTGATGAGGGTTCGGATATCCAGCTGGATGGGGTCTATAATCTTGGTTCATTGAGCCTGGTCCGGACCTTTTTCGAGGAGGAGGAGGTGGTGCATCATCCGCATCAATTATCGACCTGATGTCCATAACTGCCGAGCGAGCTTATTCCTCCCCTTCCCGTTATGCCTTGATATGCCTTCCAGGCTCCAGCCAATACCACTCAAATAGTATTCTTTCACAACACCAAAGCTTCAGGTTTACCAATCGCTTTATCGAATTGAGAACTTGTGCCAGAACCGTAGCACATTCAACGGTTGTCTGTATCGCTGCCCTGAATGATGCTTCGTGCGGATCCTTGTGGAGGAGAGACTTGGCCCCCGTCTTCACAACGCGGTCGCTTCGTCAAGAACGCTTTTGCAATGACGGCACATCGAAGGAGCCAGCTCCTTATAGCTCTTTATAGTATCGTTGCTCCTAAGCGCTATCAACTATCAACCCTTTCAGTCCCTAATCGTACATTCCGAGAGGGGGTCGTGTGCGCTTCGCGCGAAGTGGTTGTGAAATATTTGAAAGAAAAGCCTCACGTATCATATAATGTTATCGGGTTTTAAGGATGCCTCAGATAGTATGCCTAGTCTCCATGCTTTCCACAAAGCGGTGTCTGCAGCTTCCGGTCAGAATTGGAGAATCATCGTCATTGGAGTTACCTTCTTACATACCTAAGTACTCAGAATTGACGAAAACGGAATAGCGTCTTGGCGCAGCCAAGCTAACGATTGCGCCGAGTTGACGTGTATTCTAGCAGCCTGCCCTAGTCTCAGCTTGGCCCCACCGGCCTTGAGGTGGGTCTGAGTAGGAAACCCTGCCAAGACTTATTTTTTGGTGTATTGCCCGATATGTAATATTCACACCCTGCGTATATATGATCCTTAACAAAAATGCGCAACTACGTGATATGGCCTTTTTTGAAATTCTTAAAAAAGTCGAATAAATAGTTAAATAGACTCTCGTTAAATTAGAAGCTATAGTATAGTAATTAAGAAGTAAACTTTTAATTCTATTCTATTAAAAAACTTAGCTAACTTAGCTATAGTAGCGATATTAATATTTAAAAATATTATATATCTTAATAGACGCGTAATATTATATAGAAATTTTCTTATAATTTAATTCTCGAGGTAATCACTATAATACTCGCCGAATCGACAATACAGCGTATTAGAGAAAATGCGTAACCTTATTAATTAGTTTATTACTTTAATTAAAGGTATTTCTCTTATTTTTTATAATC